TCGATGCTCATGATATCAATCATTGGGCTTGTCTGATCCAGACTCGATGATTTACCGACCTCCTTTATATAGCTGGAATATTGCTGAGTGCGGCGTTAAACAACTAACAAACAATCAAATCAACCCAAATCAATACAGTCTCAGTGCCCCTCGTAGTGATTTGATGTGACACTTATTCTAACATATAATACTCACACACGGGTACATGCATGGGTTTACTGTCAGTTTCTACAAACGGAGATTGAAATTCAGTCCAGCTCTTCAAAAGATGTATTAATTTTGCGCAATCATGCATTGACTGGTATAAATAATATATTCATAAAGACTGTTCGTACTGGGCGTCTGACAGACGTCGGGGTCTGCCGGCACGGGTTTCCTGCGCTGAGTGATCGATGTCAACACTGCACACAATAAACGACGCGCGTCGTAATCTCGGGTAACCTGTCTTTTCTTAGAAACTGTTTATACACTTTTACCAGAAACAAACTCCCTTAAGAATTGCCTCGTGGGTATTGATTAATGCCACTATCGCCCATACAGGACGGTTTTGGGGGTCAGGCTTGTTGGATTTCTGGGGGTCGGACCTATTGGTTTACGGGGGTCGGGCTTGTTAGTTTATAGGGTTCAGGCGCTTGTTGGTTTATGGAGGTCAGGCTTGTTCGTTTAAGGGGGTCAGGCTTGTTGATTTTCGGCTAGCTATGGTAACGTTTTGTTTTGCTTATTAATACTTTATTCAACCTATGAAGCGTAAATTTATCTCTTGATAACACATACAATGACAGGTTTCAATACTTCCCAGTCACGTACTCTAAAATGAATGATATCAATAAACATATTGGTCACTCTGATGGTAGGAGAATTGTCAAAAGCAATGCCATTTCAGCCAACTTGGCGTAAGGAAACAGGAACATGATAGCGACATGTCCCCCCTGTAAGTGCACATAATTACAAATCAGACTAGGCTTCAGATAAGGCTTTTTGAATATATGACCTATGACCCTGATCACGTGGCATGTGGTCTCCGGGCCACCCTTTGTACTTAATCACACATGATCTGACCATGTAACGACAGTTGGGGTTGCTTCCAACAACATGACAACTTGAGTGTGGGATAACCTAGACTTGGTCATTTCCAAAGCATTTTGTATCTGTGTGATATAAACGAACGGTTCAATATTACCGTGATACAAACACATCTCTGACTGTTCTAACACTAGGAGTGAAATGTCACTGAGTGTTGTCACTGAAGACTGGTTCCACTGCGTGTTTTGTATTCCCTGTGCAACATAGAATCATTGCAGAAGTATTTTGTACATTGCCATGGAAAATATTGCAATTGTTCTACATCAAACTTTGTGATATGGCTTGAGTTTGGTCATCTACGTTACACAGAGCAGTGAACACATGCAATATGGAAGCGTTGTTTCATGTCAACAACTGGGATGTGCATGCCTGTCAGTCCGCCAGACACGGTTTCATCATGTCTACTGAATACATTTCCTTTGTTGGACATATAGTTGAACCACGTTGTCTCGAACTCCTGGGGACTAAAGAAAAAGGTAGACTTATCCGACTCGACATTATCACCATGTGGCCTCGCCATTAACGGTTTCAGGACTTTGATGTTTCACGCCGCATCGGGCTCAGGCCGTTATACTTGGTACAAAATGTAACTTGACTGACTTATCAGTGGAAATTGTAATATACTTATAACGTTTGGGGCTATAAATTGAGTTCGAGACAACAGAGAATTCGACACATCAAGGTTAAATTAGTGATACATATAGTGATTGTTGGCCGGGATGAGACTGTGTGTTCGACACAACCGGGGATTCGAATGGCTTTGGAGGTATATGCATCTGTTTCAACTACATGGGTGTTTTCAATATTTAGTTTGATAGTTTCACGGACCGATATAGTTTGCAGCGAACACATCTGTCGCCAGAGCATAACCGGCGGTAGACTTTGTCCACAGAACACATTCCTGTTTATGGTCTCTGTAAGTTGCGTTTGAATTTACAATCACAGATGTATTTGTGTTTCACAAACCTGTGGAATGCAGCAATGCCACAAGGTTATTTCCCGGACGTTCACTGTCGAGGTTTTCACCAGGCAATGTTTGGCCATCCACGTGTCCCTCCATTGTGCTGAGAGCGGAAGGTCGTGGGTTCGATCCCTGGCCGCGTCATACCAACGACTTGTCGGCTCTGAGTCAGTATATTTTGTCTCGCATGCACGCACGCACGTCTTGGACGCGACGTTAAACCCCATTTCACCTCACCTTTAGTCTGCGTAACTTGACATGGCGATGTTGAAGAATGTGAGGAGTGAGTGACCAGAAACTCCAACGAACTAACAAATAACTGAGGTCATTTCTGTTATAACAAACAAGTTAAAGCTGAAGATGCTGATTGTCGTCGTGCTTCTCTACAGTTTTTAATCCATTGGTTCATTGCAATGTGCAGATGCAGTCTTCCGTCATGAAAGTACATGTGTACATGTAAGTCATGTAGGTCGAGTTGACCTCGTCTGTATACGTCATGTACGTCTAGTTGACCTCGTCTGTGTACGTCATGTAGGTCGAGTTGACCTCGTCTGTGTACGTCATGTAGGTCGAGTTGACCTCGTCTGTGTACGTCATGTAGGTCGAGTTGACCTCGTCTGTATACGTCATGTAGGTCGAGTAGACCTCGTCTGTGTACGTCATGTAGGTCGAGTTGACTCATCTGTATACGTCATGTAGGTCGAGTAGACCTCGTCTGTATACGTCATGTAGGTCGAGTTGACCTCGTCTGTGTACGTCATGTAGGTCGAGTAGACCTCGTCTGTATACGTCATGTACGTCTAGTTGACCTCGTCTGTGTACGTCATGTAGGTCGAGTTGACCTCGTCTGTGTACGTCATGTAGGTCGAGTTGACCTCGTCTGTGTACGTCATGTACGTCTAGTTGACCTCGTCTGTGTACGTCATGTAGGTCGAGTAGACCTCGTCTGTATACGTCATGTACGTCTAGTTGACCTCGTCTGTGTACGTCATGTAGGTCGAGTTGACCTCGTCTGTGTACGTCATGTACGTCTAGTTGACCTTGTCTGTGTACGTCATGTAGGTCGCGTTGACCTCGTCTGTGTACGTCATGTACGTCTAGTTGCCCTCGTCTGTGTACGTCATGTAGGTCGAGTTGACCTCGTCTGTGTACGTCATGTAGGTCGAGTTGACCTCGTCTGTGTACGTCATGTAGGTCCAGTTGACCTCGTCTGTGTACGTCATGTAGGTCGAGTTGACCTTGTCTGTGTACGTCATGTAGGTCGAGTTGACCTCGTCTGTATACGTCATGTAGGTCGAGTAGACCTCGTCTGTGTACGTCATGTAGGTCGAGTTGACCTCGTCTGTATACGTCATGTAGGTCGAGTTGACCTTGTCTGTGTACGTCATGTAGGTCGAGTTGACCTCGTCTGTATACGTCATGTAGGTCGAGTTGACCTTGTCTGTGTACGTCATGTAGGTCGAGTTGCCCTTGTCTGTGTACGTCATGTAGGTCGAGTTGACCTCGTCTGTACAGGTCATGTAGGTCGAGTTGACCTCGTCTGTGTACGTCATGTAGGTCGAGTTGACCTCGTCTGTGTACGTCATGTAGGTCGAGTATATCTCGTCTGTGCCGAGCATGTAGGCCTTCTCGTCTGTGCAGGTCATGTGGGCCCTCTCGTCTGTGCAGGTCATGTGGGCCTTCTCGTCTGTGCAGGTCGTGTAGGCCTTCTCGTCTGTACAGGTCATGTGGGCCCTCTCGTCTGTGCAGGTCATGTAGGCCTTCTCGTCTGTACATATCATGTAGGCCTTCTCGTCTGTGCAGGTCATGTGGGCCTTCTTGTCTGTGCAGGTCGTGTAGGCCTTCTCGTCTGTACAGGTCATGTGGGCCTCCTCGTTTGTGCAGGTCATGTAGGCCTTCTGGTCTGTGCAGGTCATGTAGGCCTTCTCGTCTGTATAGATCATGTAGGCCTTCTCGTCTGTGCAGGTCACGCAGGCCTTCTCGTCTGCACAGGTCACGCAGGCCTTCTCTTCTGCACAGGTCATGTAGGCCTTCTCGTCTGTGCAGGTCATGAAGGCCTTCTCGTCTGTACAGGTCATGTAGGCCTTCTCGTCTGTGCAGGTCACGCAGGCCTTCTCGTCTGCACAGGTCATGTAGGCCTTCTCATCTGTGGAGATGATGTAGGCCTTCTCGTCTGTACAGGTCATGTAGGCCTTCTCGTCTGTACAGGCCATGTAGGCCTTCTCGTCTGCACAGGTCATGTAGGCCTTCTCGTCTGTACAGGTCATGTAGGCCTTCTCATCTGTGGAGATGATGTAGGCCTTCTCGTCTGTGGAGATCATGTAGGCCTTCTCGTCTGTGGAGATCATGTAGGCCTTCTCGTCAGTGCAGGTCATGTAGGCCTTCTCGTCTGTGCAGGTCATGTAGACCTTCTCGTCTGTACAGATCATGCAGGCCTTCTCGTCTGTGCAGATCATGTAGGCCTTCTCGTCTGTGCAGGTCATGTAGGCCTTCTCGTCTGTACAGGCCATGTAGGCCTTCTCGTCTGTGCAGGTCACGCAGGCCTTCTCGTCTGCACAGGTCACGCAGGCCTTCTCGTCTGCACAGGTCACGCAGGCCTTCTTGTCTGTACAGGTCATATAGGCCTTCTCGTCTGCACAGGTCACGCAGGCCTTCTCGTCTGTGCAGGTCATGTAGGACTTCTCGTCTGTGCAGGTCATGTAGGCCTTCTCGTCTGTGCAGGTCATGTAGGCCTTCTCGTCTGTGCAGGTCATGTAGGCTTTCTCGTCTGTGCAGGTCATGTAGGCCTTCTCGTCTGTACAGGTCATGTAGGCCTCCTCGTCTGTGCAGGTCATGTAGGCCTCCTCGTCTGTGCAGGTCATGTAGGCCTTTTCGTCTGTGCAGGTCACGCAGGCCTTCTCGTCTGCACAGGTCATGTAGGCCTTCTCGTCTGTACAGGTCATGTAGGCCTCCTCGTCTGTGCAGGTCATGTAGGCCTTCTCGTCTGTGCAGGTCGATATTTCCTGGAATTAATGATTAGTCGCTTTGTTTACTTGTTTAGTGGTATTCCCGGAAAAGGTGCGATCAGGCCTTGTCTTGTTTGCACTGCGGCGATAAGGCAGTCCATGCAGAGAGTTGGAGTATCTGAGAGCACGGTCAGAACAGAAGCAACCACCTTGGGTCTCGGGTAAGACAGGTACGGCAACGTGCACATTGAAAGATGTCAACGGATATGTCGTCCTCGGATGAGACGGATGGAGAGCTGGAGGACCATCAGACTCATCCCACCAGGTCCCAGGGGCCGGACATACACAAGGTAACACACTGTTGCCTTTATTGACGATTCATTTCACGGTGTGTGCCTCAATCTGCAATATTCGAGCGGTGTGACGACGGTCGGTAAATAATCGAGCCTGGACCGGACAATCCTGTGATTAATATTATGAGCGTCGATCTACGTCATTGGGATACGATGACATGCATCAACTAAGTCAGCGAGCCTGACCTCCCGATCCATTTAGACGCCTGTTTCGACAATCACAAGTTGCTTGGGACCTGTATTCTTTCCCGAAATCCCTACTGGTCTCGCTTCAATCACGTTACATGTATATGGTTATTTGTTTCGCTTATTTGATATTTAATTAGACTAACATCTAGTCCCTGAAATGTACGTATGAAAACAGTTGTTAACTAATAGTAATTAAAAGGAGCCCAGAGAATATCTTGATACTGCAGTAATCTAGACTTGCATGGGCTCTATTGGATATATTTGTTTCAGGGTCTGTATGACAGCCTAATATTTAAGGTCACGAAAATGAAAACTGAGAAGTTTATGAAAGGGTAAACATTTAGGAAGAGGGCGGTTGAGAAGCCTAGTAGTTAAAGCGTCCGCTCGCCACGTCGAATACTCAGGTTCGATTCCCACATTGGTATAATGAAGCCAATGTCTGAATGCCGTGATGTTTCTGGAATATTTCAAAACCTGCGTGAAACCATATTCACTTACTCACATAAAGAAAGGGGTCTCCCCGTTGGTTATAGTAATATTTCTTGTATTGTTGAATTGTTAAATCTAATGATTTGCGTGTATGTATAATACCTGAAAGAAGGTACACTATTTCAAGAACTCTCAGTTCATTGCTGGGCTTAAGGGCTGAAGGCCTATAGAGTGACAATGAAATGAAAATAAATAAACAAACATCTCGGTTCTGTTTTAATAAACATGATCCTAATAACACATCGTTATGACAGAGATAATTTTAGCAAGGATATAGGCCATCGGCCCATACAGCTTAAGTTACAATGCACCCAACGTTGTGTCTTTCAATAACGCATTAAAACTATTGTTTCCTAATTGCATTGAATATAATCCAGACATTGCTAAATGTGTAACAATTTCAGTATATTATATTTCTGTAAAGTGGGATGTACAAAGTATTTTTTGTGAAGATACATTTGACGCACATCAGAAGCGTAATAAAGAAGTAATACTCATTTTATACATATCCATATTGTTTATAAGGTTTGTTTTTTGTTTAACGCCGCACTTAGTAATATTACAGCTATATGACGGCGGTCTGTAAAATAATCGAGTCTGTACCAGACAATCCAGTGATTGACATCATGAGCATCGGTCCACGCAATTGGGATACGATGACATGTTCAACACTTTTTTCATACCTGTATATGTGTACTCTGTAAAGACTAGCAGTAATATAAACCAAGTATCTGATACCTTCTTAAATATCATATGCACACTGTGCTTCTTTTTTTTATCAACGTAACTACCTTAAATAAGGGTCTGTTTTTGTGCTTAAATATTTCTGCATATGATATTACAATCACAGAAGTAACGTTCCTCTCCGCTTTACATTTAAAACAATCCAAATACATGTTCTCCTGAATATAGCGAAACTAGTGAAATAATGGCCAGGGTTCACAAACACCAATCAAAACTAGAATGACTGAGCAACGACATGCGCACCGATACGTTATGTCCCTGAGGTGATAGTATCTGTTATGAAAAAAATGTAGCCAGGATCAATATTCACGACCGTTATCTGCGTGCAAGTCTGTAATCATAAACAAACATGGAGTACTTCATGGCTCACACGTGTCAGCCGCCATATCATGTGTCGCTGGATTGACGTGCACGTCTAAGATAAATCATGGTGTTCGTCTTTTGAAGCCACGCCAAATAGCGACTACCCGAGACGCCCAGCTATCTGTCTACTTGTCGCGATGTGCTGCACGGTTGAGTCTGTTCACTCGTCAATGTTGTGGTTGTCGTTTTGGTGATAACCTTTGACTCTGTTCTCGTAATGGCGTCGCAGTAATCGAAAACTTTGTCCACCAAAAAGCGAAACGGACTGATAGCCTACCGAAAGTCGCGCAAACACAGACAGAACATCACAATTTATGAGTCTTCCTGCAGTCATTTATTCAAAACCTGTTCAACACTTTTTTCATACCTGTATATGTGTACTCTGTAAAGACTAGAAGTAATATAAACCAAGTATCTGATACCTTCTTAAATATTATATGCACGCTGTGTTTTTTTTAATCTACGTAACTACATGTACCAATGGTCTTCCATAAATTCTAATCCCATATTATTTTGAACAAACATTTGGTTGTGGAATTGCTCATGATATATGATATCTCTGAATAAAATTAGATATAAAAAGAAAGATTGTCAAATATATTTAAGGCCATGATGTTATCGTATTGTTTGCAGAACGTGCTTTAAATGGTAGACGAAGATCGTGTGAGCTATTCATGGCCTATTAATATGTTTTACTATTTTCTCCCCTGTGCGGCTTCGAGGATCAGCTAGGTCCCAGTAACCTATGCTTATCGTTCAAAGCAACTTAATGGATCTCAATGGACATAATGCAATATTTCTGAGTGCGGCGTTAAACAAACAAACAAGCATAGTAGATTATAAGTCGCAGTAGGTCGCTATCACTAAACAAAGATCTGAGGACATCCCATTACGGGTCACGTCAGAACGACATTTCATCCGACCAATCAAAGCGTCGCTTACCAGATCATGAAAGTGGATCATGACAGTCGGAATGTGTTTTCTAATCTTGCAACCTCGAAAACGTTTACACGGGGCATTCCGAACGACAGTTACGGCCCGTACGACTGATTCCGTCAAAATTATCGTCTCTCTCTCGCTTCCGTGGGATAAACATTTGAACGGTGGAGGCGTTGCACAGTACGTGGGAAGCACTGCCATAAAATCGCAACCATATTTTAGACATTCCGGAATGTTCTTTTGTTCAGTTTTCAAAATTTTAATCGAGAACTATGTTAACATATTTTTCAAGCGTTGTCTGAAATGGAAGTCGCCAGGTTGAAACGAGTGCCGTAGCGCTCGAGAAAGCTGCTTTCTAATTGGCTGATGTCGACTTCTTGTTAGTCGTTTCAGTGGTGGGTCAAAGTTCGCGAAAGGTCGTTCTGACGTGAACCGTAATGGGTTGTCCTCAGATCTTTGTTTAGTGGTAGCGTGAACATACATCTGATTTTAATGAGATTGTGAATTACGTAAATTAATAATATATGAACCTTTTAATTCATCCCAGTTTAAACTTAAATGTGCAGAGTTGCCTCTCTTAGACGCGCCAGGATCAGTTGATTATGTGTTTGAATCCTAGACTTGCTGTTATGATTCCCGTACCCGCGGGTTTCAAAAAAATTTATGGTAGACATGTGGAACACTTGTTATTTTGACTTGTACCATATGTTCCCATGTTCTTTTCGGGTGAACAATTGACTTGCCTTTGCATGTGTTTGTGTTGGCTGCCACCTGTATGGGCAGGATACGCTCACTTTTTCGCGAACACCTGGTATCATTACTATATGATATTGATTCATAAACACATGCTCATGATATAGTCAGAATCGTACAATAGACTGCTCTATGCAGAGATTTCTTTTGGATATGGAGGGGGTTTTGTCGCTTTATTTCACGAAAGCAAACAGTAAAATCTACGACCCGCATAGGCTAGTTTAAGCATTTTAATAATGCACATTTAACCCTTTAATCTGATACAATGTAGTGAATCATACTGATATTTGTAGGTAATTACATGAACACGTTTGTAATAAACGATAAAACAACCGTAATGAATAAGGAAACCTTAGCATCGATGAATCTGTCCTAAATGAAACTTCGTGACATTACAGGTGTGTTGTGGATAGTGTTTGATATTGCAAACATATGCTTATAATATAGTCGGAATCGTACAATGGACTCGGCTTTTAGCAGAGGTTTCGTATGATTATTTGCAAGTAACTAATTTACTCATTCATTTAGTTTTGTCATTACAAGTTTTGTGTCGCGTGTGAAATGAAACACTACGTGTTTGTACCATGAGAAAGAATTCCATAAAACTCAGAACATAGTGAGTGTAGGGAATGCACACGCAGCCCCATCAGTATGATGGACATTGTACTGACAACACAGAACATAGTGAGTGTAGGGACTGCACACGCAGCCCCATCAGTATGATGGACATTGTACTGACAACACAGAACATAGTGAGTGTAGGGACTGCACACGTAGCCCCATCAGTATGATAGACATTGTACTGACAACACAGAACATAGTGAGTGTAGGGAATGCACACGCAGCCCCATCAGTATGATGGACATTGTACTGACAACACAGAACATAGTGAGTGTAGGGAATGCACACGCAGCCCCATCAGTATGATGGACATTGTATTGACAATGATACTGATAATCCCCCCAGAAATAAGAAGCATTCGGTTGAATAATGCTGTACCGTTTCCTTTAGTTGGCCAGACAGGGGGATGTGGTCAGTCTGAAGGATGCCCTGGATGAGAGGAGGGACGGACGGACACGTAAGGTTGATGAAAAAGACGACAAAGGCCTGACTCCCCTGCAGCATGCGGTCATGTATGACAGTCCTGAGGTCGTCAACTACCTGATCAACACTCGCCCAGCCGAGGGATTGGAAGCTGCAAGTAATTATTGACAGAATTCCGTGGCATACACTCATGTATCTGTCGCGCTTCAGTAAAATTAGCAGAGGGAAAGTGGGTGATTAGAGAAGGGAGATTTCACAGTTGAGAGAAAGGAGCGGGTTTTTCTCCTCTGTGGAATTTACCTTCTCTCATCAGTGAGGTCTCCATATTTCTCTCTGCTGTGACGTCTTTTCCTTTGTCTCATCAGTGAGGTCTCCATATTTCTCTCTGGTGTAACGTATTTTCCTTGGTCCCATGAGTGAGGTCTCCATATTTCTCTCTGGTGTAACGTATTTTCCTTGGTCTCATTAGTGAGGTCTCCATATTTCTCTCTGCTGTGACGTCTTTTCCTTTGTCTCATCAGTGCGGTCTCCATATTTCTCTCTGGTGTAACGTATTTTCCTTGGTCTCATCAGTGAGGTCTCCATATTTCTCTCTGGTGTAACATATTTTCCTTGGTCTCTTTAGTAAAGTCTCCATATTTCTCTCTGCTGTGACGTCTTTTCCTTTGTCTCATCCGTGAGGTCTTCACATTTCTCTCTGCTGTGACGTCTTTTCCTTTGTCTCATCCGTGAGGTCTCCATATTTCTCTCTGCTGTGACGTCTTTTCCTTTGTCTCATCAGTGCGGTCTCCATATTTCTCTCTGGTGTAACGTATTTTCCTTGGTCTCATCAGTGAGGTCTCCATATTTCTCCCTTGTGTGAAGTCCTTTCCTTTGTCTCATCAGTGAGGTCTCCATATTTCTCTCTGCTGTGACGTCTTTTCTTTTGTCTCATCAGTGAGGTCTTTTCTTTTGTCTCATCCGTGAGGTCTTCACATTTCTCTCTGCTGTGAAGTCTTTTCCTTTGTCTCATCAGTGAGGTCTCCAGATTTCTCTCTGCTGTGAAGTCTTTTCTTTTGTCTCATCAGTGAGGTCTCCATATTTCTCCACGCTGTGAAGTCTTTTCCTTTGTCTCATCAGTGAGGTCTCCATATTTCTCTCTGGTGTAACGTATTTTCCTTGGTCTCATTAGTGAGGTCTCCATATTTCTCTCTGCTGTGACGTCTTTTCCTTTGTCTCATCAGTGCGGTCTCCATATTTCTCTCTGGTGTAACGTATTTTCCTTGGTCTCATCAGTGAGGTCTCCATATTTCTCTCTGGTGTAACATATTTTCCTTGGTCTCTTTAGTAAAGTCTCCATATTTCTCTCTGCTGTGACGTCTTTTCCTTTGTCTCATCCGTGAGGTCTTCACATTTCTCTCTGCTGTGACGTCTTTTCCTTTGTCTCATCCGTGAGGTCTTCACATTTCTCTCTGCTGTGACGTCTTTTCCTTTGTCTCATCCGTGAGGTCTCCATATTTCTCTCTGCTGTGACGTCTTTTCCTTTGTCTCATCAGTGCGGTCTCCATATTTCTCTCTGGTGTAACGTATTTTCCTTGGTCTCATCAGTGAGGTCTCCATATTTCTCCCTTGTGTGAAGTCCTTTCCTTTGTCTCATCAGTGAGGTCTCCATATTTCTCTCTGCTGTGACGTCTTTTCTTTTGTCTCATCAGTGAGGTCTTTTCTTTTGTCTCATCCGTGAGGTCTTCACATTTCTCTCTGCTGTGAAGTCTTTTCCTTTGTCTCATCAGTGAGGTCTCCAGATTTCTCTCTGCTGTGAAGTCTTTTCTTTTGTCTCATCAGTGAGGTCTCCATATTTCTCTCTGCTGTGAAGTCTTTTCTTTTGTCTCATCAGTGTGGTCTCCATATTTCTCTCTGCTGTGACGTCTTTTCCTTTGTCTCATCAGTGAGGTCTTCACATTTCTCTCTGGTGTAACATATTTTCCTTGGTCTCTTTAGTAAAGTCTCCATATTTCTCTCTGCTGTGACGTCTTTTCCTTTGTCTCATCCGTGAGGTCTTCACATTTCTCTCTGCTGTGACGTCTTTTCCTTTGTCTCATCCGTGAGGTCTCCATATTTCTCTCTGCTGTGAAGTCTTTTCTTTTGTCTCATCAGTGTGGTCTCCATATTTCTCTCTGCTGTGACATCTTTTCCTTTGTCTCATCAGTGAGGTCTTCACATTTCTCTCTGGTGTAACATATTTTCCTTGGTCTCTTTAGTAAAGTCTCCATATTTCTCTCTGCTGTGACGTCTTTTCCTTTGTCTCATCAGTGAGGTCTTCATATTTCTCTCTGGTGTAACATATTTTCCTCGGTCTCTTTAGTAAAGTCTCCATATTTCTCTCTGCTGTGACGTCTTTTCCTTTGTCTCATCCGTGAGGTCTTCACATTTCTCTCTGCTGTGACGTCTTTTCCTTTGTCTCATCCGTGAGGTCTCCATATTTCTCTCTGCTGTGACGTCTTTTCCTTTGTCTCATCAGTGAGGTCTCCATATTTCTCTCTGCTGTGACGTCTTTTCCTTTGTCTCATCCGTGAGGTCTCCATATGTCTCTCTTGTGTGAAGTCTTTTCCTTTGTCTTAGGCCTATATAAATACTAATTATTACTAATTATACTAATTATTAAAGTTGATATATAAGGAATGCAGTATATACTTGGCTGATGCGATTGTCATGCAGTGTCAAATATGGAATATAGAAAAATGATTATCATTATCATTATCAAAAGATCTAGAAGAATTCCAGGTTTTAAATCCCAGTTAACAATATTTTAGGTTCGGTGACTTGTTTTTTTGTGTCATCATACAATAAAGAAAAAAGGAAGAAAGAAAGAAACAAACAATATATGCATGTTGTATGAGTAGAGGGAACTTACCCACGGAATTGTTCAGTTAATTCTGGTTTGAGCAGATCTTTCATGGAATTATAGATCCGATTTTGTCCCTTCATTTACATATGAATGATACTGTAAGGATTCTATTTCTGCCCTTCCACAGACCACCTGGTACAAGATAAATATGGTCTGTCTCTGGCGCACTATGCTGCAAAGAGCGTCAGAGGAATAACAAGAAATGCCCCAGGCACTGTCAACACTTGGGGAAATGATGACGAGCAATATTCAGTAAGTATCAGGAATAGGGGTTGCTGGCAACTTTGTTTCTAATTTCAAGGCTTTGAAGTTGGTGTAACTCATCTATTTCATGACTGACAGTTTCATTTATGGACACGCTTGATATATTGTAAAAGGAATTGTCATTGTCTGGAAATCTGGGCCAAAAATGTATTTGCATAACAATATATGTATGTCAATCCTTCAAACTGGAAGGTATGATAGGAATTTATTTCAAGCATTAAAATGCATGTACGTTTTGGGTTAGCGTCATTGATGGATGAAATACTTACTAAAGCTATTGGAGCTACAAACTGCTTCAGTAATGCTCAAATCCAATTTCGAGTTGTTTAGAAAGAATCCTAGAGGGAGCGGGATAATTTTTATTCCGATTTACCTTCATTATTTTAGGCGTCTGTTTCAAGTGATGAAAGGAGATCTCAGACTTGTCTGGAGCTACTTGTTCAGAAAGATGCTAAAGAAATTAAGCTAATTTATATGAAAGAAGAGGAGCACGGACAGACGCCTCTGCATTTTGCTGTTATGTCAGGAAGCATTGACAGCGTGAAGACACTCATCAACAAGGATAGGAACAGTCACAAGAAGCAACTCATACATGTGAGCAGTAGGTATTGATACGGGGCGGTCGGGTAGCCTAGTGGTTAAAGCGTTCGCTCGTCACGCCGAAGACCCGGGTTCGATTCCCGACATGGGTACAATGTGTGAAGCCCATTTCTGGTGTCCCCCGCCGTGATATTGCTGGAATATTGCTAAAAGCGGCGTAAAACCATACTCAGTCAGTTAGTCAGTCAGTCAGTTATTGATACATTTGAAACCCAAGATCAGATCATTAGGAGTCATAGAGACAAGGGAGCCAACACCACATCCAACTGGATGTCCTGAAAAAGAATGTGCTGTGAATATCCATGTTCGGATGCCCCTTTCAGAGCAAAATATGCGTAGGTCTTGAAGCAGTGACAGAAATGATATTCTGATTGAAAGAAAACCTTGTACTGACATCTAATGGTACTTACTCTTGGTTTAGCACCACCACACAAGTTCTCGTGGATATCCTCAAAGTGTTACAGGGCTTTGAGTCCCCCCCCCCCCCCCCCCCCCCCCCCGGATTCAGCTGAATGGCTGTGATGTATCTCTGAATATAAATTGTCAATGCAAGAGAATAACCAGCCTAGATTTGCTGCCGAAACAGATTCCACTTGGCTTAGAGCGCATAATAGATGTGGAAATTGTATGAATGGACCACTGAAAATCAGTGATGACAACAGGTGTTCGCGAAAAGGAACTTACTTACTGATTTACTGCCAACAGGTTAGTGATTACATGCAGAGTTCAATGGGTAGTTAAACCACACCCTCATTCACTCACTGTTGTAGACGAAAGACGACCAAGGCTTGACCCCGATGCACGTTGCGGCCACGTACCGTCAGCTGGACATCATGAAATATCTGATGGACAGAGGAGCCGAGTTCGCAGAACAAGACAAGGACGGGTCGACACCACTGCACTACGCTTGCTCAGCTGGGACAGGAGCTGGTGTTGAAATGGTTGACCTACTTCTTCAAAGAGCAAACAGCAAGGAGGTGTGTTACTTACGACCCTGGGGCAATTTGTATTTTCGACACAAAGTACTGTCAAACGTATCAAAGTATAGCTAGCGTTCACGTCCATCCTGATACTTAAGTATACTTTAGTGACAAACACTTCCTTGTTAATTCAATGTTGCGTTTCATGCATCAGTCACAAACATTATGTCCGATGATATTTTTCATTTTAACTTGGGCTTGGATGTTGAATGATTAGAGTGTAGAGAATGTAGAGATTGTAGTGTATAACTTGTTATGAGATATTAACGAAATAGGAATGGTATTGTGTGATATTAATCATGTGACTATCTCATATAAAGTGATGATGTGCGTTGAAACAGATGATGGAAAAGAAGGACACAGGAGGCAATACGTGTCTGCACATCGCTACAGAAAACGGACATGAGGAAATAGTTCAAAAGCTACTTGATAATGGTAAGCAAACATATGACATTCAACATTCCATACTTTGCCCCTGATATACACGACATCTGGAGTATTACAGGATCATTAGCTTAGAGACACAAAAGACAGAAAAGTGTTTTCAAGGTGAGCTCGTGAGACCTTTGAATCTATAGCAAAGGATTAAAATTTACTTCACAGAAATAATTTTGAATTGTAAAAACACCAAAGGTAAAAAAGGGGTCTGTTTTAAAAACAATTTGTTTAGGATGAGTAAGTGAGCATTGTTTCACGTCGGTCTTAGCAATATTCCAGCAACATTACGAAAGGGGAACACAAGAAATGGGCTTCACTTTAAGATTAGAAACTGATATTCACATCCATTTTCAAATAGATTTTATATACACACGCGTGACTTCTGAAACGATCCTCGGGTGTGCCTGGGGTTGAAAGGTTAAAAGAGTAAATGTTGTGTTGCTTAATGTGTTTCCTCAGAATTGTCGTTCGCCTCCGCAGGCACTGGTTTTCTCCACCGTACACCTTGTTACCCTGATATATACCACTCAAATAAAGTGAAGGACAACCCGATTGTTTCATAGTACAATAGACAAATTGCCATGCCTTGACAGATGGACTACTTAATTAATGATAAAGAATCGTGTGGTCCTTCACTTTTGTTGAGTAGTATATCTATTGTATACGCTGGGATGTATTCTGACGTCTCCCACCATGGTATTGCTGTCATATTCCTGAGGGCGACGTAAGACCTGACGCAATCAGTCACTCTTTAGTTATCTGGATTGTAGTGATCCAAGCTGACGTGATGTTGTGATTCTTCCAGGCGCTAACGTTTCGGTTGCCCGCAACGACGGAATGTATCCAGTACATCTTGCAGTTATATCGGGAAATCTGAAGATTGTAAAATCTTTCGTTACTAAAACTGAGAGTCACAACCTGGAGAAGAACACCAAGTCAACAACACTTCACCTCGCTGCACAGTACAATCAGCTGGAGATTGCACAATACCTGCTTAAAGAACTGTATGTATACCCACAGCTCTCCTGTTTGGGATTCCAGGTTGGAATTGGTCCCTAGCAATCAGTTCTGGCTGTAAGAGTCGACCTAATGTATCGGAGGCAGGCTCGGGGTGAATGGGTGGATATATAGCTTGAATATTGCTGACAGTGGCGTAAAATAACAAACAAACAAACAAACAAAACATACAGATGTAAAGGTGGTTAGTCTCCGTATACCACTTTGATAACACTGAGACAAGTGTTTTATATATTCTAGAAAGTTTGCTTTGATTACAACTTACAACAACGTCACGTCTGGACCAGACGATCCAGTTACATGTGCTGGCGATTAGGTGCTTCACTCTGGCAGTGTGGGTTCAAATCCCGGATGGGATTCAACCCCAAAGAGTACTAGAATCTGTACTTTACTAAGAAAGAGTTATCCCAAATATGACATCTGTTACGTTTGACCGCTTTCTAAATGGCAGTGTGTGTTCACAACAACTATCTTGACTGAATTATTATCAAAGCTTTGGGACAACGCGGTGGTCCGAAATCACAAATCAAATATTTGTCACAGCCAAATATGCTTAAGTTAATTAAGGGTCATACCACATTGGCAGTTAAGAACTCAGTTCCTTCTTGGAAAGTAATGAAGCAAACAAACTTAATCAATAATTCGTTATATATCACTGCTACAATGAATGTTCTGTGAATTACGGGTACCATGGATCCTAACGCATCAATTAAAGGTGGGTGTTCGTATTTCAGGCATGGCCTAGTGGCCATGAAAGACGACAACGACAATACTCCGCTACATATAGCTGCCTTATTCAACCAGTCCCAAATAGTGAAACTGCTGATGGAGTATGGAGGCGAGATAGACGCTAAGAACCTCAAGGGACGGATACCGTTACACGGAGCGGCTAAGATGGGGCACATTGAATCCCTGGATGTAAGTAGGCACTTGTAGTCTTCGTGAAGGTACCTTAACCACAGAGGCACACTGAATCCCTGGATGTAAGTAGGCACTTGTAGTCTTCGTGAAGGTACCTTAACCACAGAGGCACACTGAATCCCTGGATGTAAGTAAGCACTTGTAGTCATCGTGAAGGTACCTTAACCCCAGGGGCACACTGAATCCCTGGATGTAAGAAGGCACTTGTAGTCTTCGTGAAGGTACCTTAACCCCAGGGGCTCACTGAATCCCTGGATGTAAGAAGGCACTTGTAGTCTTCGTGAAGGTACCTTAACCCCAGGGGCACACTGAATCCCTGGATGTAAGAAGGCACTTGTAGTCTTCGTGAAGGTACCTTAACCCCAGGGGCTCACTGAATCCCTGGATGTAAGAAGGCACTTGTAGTCTTCGTGAAGGTACCTTAACCCCAGGGGCACACTGAATCCCTGGATGTAAGAAGGCACTTGTAGTCTTCGTGAAGGTACCTTAACCCCAGGGGCTCACTGAATCCCTGGATGTAAGAAGGCACTTGTAGTCTTCGTGAAGGTACCTTAACCCCAGGGGCTCACTGAATCCCTGGATGTAAGAAGGCACTTGTAGTCTTCGTGAAGGTACCTTAACCCCAGGGGCACACTGAATCCCTGGATGTAAGAAGGCACTTGTAGTCATCGTGAAGGTACCTTAACCCCAGGGGCACACTGAATCCCTGGATGTAAGAAGGCACTTGTAGTCTTCGTGAAGGTACCTTAACCCCAGGGGCACACTGAATCCCTGGATGTAAGAAGGCACTTGTAGTCTTCGTGAAGGTACCTTAACCCCAGGGGCACACTGAATCCCTGGATGTAAGAAGGCACTTGTAGTCTTCGTGAAGGTACCTTAACCCCAGGGGATTCACTGAATCCCTGGATGTAAGAAGGCACTTGTAGTCTTCGTGAAGGTACCTTAACCCCAGGGGATTCACTGAATCCCTGGATGTAAGAAGGCACTTGTAGTCTTCGTGAAGGTACCTTAACCCCAGGGGCTCACTGAATCCCTGGATGTAAGAAGGCACTTGTAGTCTTCGTGAAGGTACCTTAACCCCAGGGGCACACTGAATCCCTGGATGTAAGAAGGCACTTGTAGTCATCGTGAAGGTACCTTAACCCCAGGGGCACACTGAATCCCTGGATGTAAGAAGGCACTTGTAGTCTTCGTGAAGGTACCTTAACCCCAGGGGCACACTGAATCCCTGGATGTAAGAAGGCACTTGTAGTCTTCGTGAAGGTACCTTAACCACAAGGGCACACTGAATCCCTGGATGTAAGAAGGCACTTGTAGTCTTCGTGAAGGTACCTTAACCCCAGGGGCACACTGAATCCCTGGATGTAAGAAGGCACTTGTAGTCATCGTGAAGGTACCTTAACCCCAGGGGCACACTGAATCCCTGGATGTAAGAAGGCACTTGTAGTCTTCGTAAAAGGTACCTTAACCCCAGGGGCTCACTGAATCCCTGGATGTAAGAAGGCACTTGTAGTCTTCGTGAAGGTACCTTAACCACAAGGGCACACTGAATCCCTGGATGTAAGAAGGCACTTGTAGTCTTCGTGAAGGTACCTTAACCCCAGGGGCACACTGAATCCCTGGATGTAAGAAGGCACTTGTAGTCTTCGTGAAGGTACCTTAACCCCAGGGGCACACTGAATCCCTGGATGTAAGAAGGCACTTGTAGTCTTCGTGAAGGTACCTTAACCACAAGGGCACACTGAATCCCTGGATGTAAGAAGGCACTTGTAGTCTTCGTGAAGGTACCTTAACCACAGGGGCACACAGAATCCCTGTATGTAAGTAGGCACTTGTAGTCTTCGTGAAGGTACCTTAACCCCAGGGGCACACTGAATCCCTGGATGTAAGAAGGCACTTGTAGTCTTCGTGAAGGTACCTTAACCACAAGGGCACACTGAATCCCTGGATGTAAGAAGGCACTTGTAGTCTTCGTGAAGGTACCTTAACCCCAGGGGCACACTGAATCCCTGGATGTAAGTAGGCACTTGTAGTCTTCGTGAAGGTACCTTAACCCCAGGGGCACACTGAATCCCTGGATGTAAGTAGGCACTTTTAGTCTAAGTGAAGGTACCTTAACCCCAGGGGCACACTGAATCCCTGGACGTAAGTAGGCACTTTTAGTCTAAGTGAAGGTACCTTAACCCCAGGGGCACACTGAATCCCTGGATGTAAGTAGGCACTTGTAGTCTTCGTGAAGGTACCTTAACCCCAGGGGCACACTGAATCCCTGGACGTAAGTAGGCACTTTTAGTCTAAGTGAAGGTACCTTAACCCCACGCACTGGAAATGGGGCTCACTGAATTCGTTGACGTAAGTAGTTTCTTTCTGTTTCACTGTTTCTTGTATCGGATATATGAACACTGCACTAAAGGAAAGGGGGTTCATCGAGTTACTGGGCATAATTAAAAACACTTAAGTGTTTCTGCGCGGGATACTATAACACCTGGCATTTGAAATAGGGGACGTTGAATCCCTGGACGTGGCTAAGCAGCCCTACATCGGATACCTTAAAACACGCACTGGAAATGGGGCACATTTAAGCACAAGACGCGAGGAGGCAACTGTTGTCTTCACCAGTCCCTCAACGCCGTGAAATGGGGCACATTGAGTTACTGGGCGTGCGTAGCCACACGGATTTGGGACACGCGGAGTTACCCTAAAGAAATATTGTCTAAACTAAACTAAACTACTGAACATGTGCGTGAGAGCACAATGTAACAATTGGGCCGTTACTGTCAAAGTAAATGCTAGATATGTTATAAAGTTGCTATTACTATCCACGCAGAGACTGTGACTGATGTTGCTCTCTTCATCCAAGAAACAAATGTACCTGTTATTCAGTATAACTGGCCCTTTCGTAAATGTTCTAATATGCCTTTTTCTGTGCTATGTCACATTTAAAATGCCCGTAGACATCCTTATTTTCTCGTTCCAGATCCTGTTGGATCCTCGTTTGTTGAGACATGGGAAAGAGTTCATGAGACTGAAGAAGCGAAACAGGGACATTATAGCTCAGAGACTCAAGGTAGCTAAATGAAATATGCAAATATGTCCCTACACCCTCTTGTCATTGGATACACGATCCCACATGGCCTAACTGAATATATTGCTACACCCTCTTGACATTGGATACACGATACCACGTCGTCTCATTTAATATATTGCTACACCCTCTTGAAATTGGATACTTAGTCCGACATCGTCTCATTGAATATATTGCTACACCCTCTTGACATTGGATACACGATCCCACGTCGTCTCATTGAATATATTGCTACACCCTCTTGACATTGGATACATAGTCCGACATCGTCTCATTGAATATATTGCTACACCCTCTTGACATTGGATACACGATACCACGTCGTCTCATTGAATATATTGCTACACCCTCTTGAAATTGGATACATAGTCCGACATCGTCTCATTGAATATATTGCTACACCCTCTTGACATTGGATACACGATACCACGTCGTCTCATTGAATATATTGCTACACCCTCTTGAAATTGGATACATAGTCCGACATCGTCTCATTGAATATATTGCTACACCCTCTTGACATTGGATACATAGTCCTACGTCGTCTCATTGAATATATTGCTACACCCTCTTGACATTGGATACACGATCCCACGTCGTCTCATTGAATATATTGCTACACCCTCTTGACATTGGATACACGATCCCACGTCGTCTCATTGAATATATTGCTACACCCTCTTGACATTGGATACATAGTCCTACGTCGTCTCATTGAATATATTGCTACACCCTCTTGACATTGGATACACGATCCCACATCGTCTCATTGAATATATTGCTACACCCTCTTGACATTGGATACACGATCCCACGTCGTCTCATTGAATATATTGCTACACCCTCTTGACATTGGATACATAGTCCGACATCGTCTCATTGAATATATTGCTACACCCTCTTGACATTGGATACACGATACCACGTCGTCTCATTGAATATATTGCTACACCCTCTTGAAATTGGATACATAGTCCGACATCGTCTCATTGAATATATTGCTACACCCTCTTGACATTGGATACACGATCCCACGTCGTCTCATTGAATATATTGCTACACCCTCTTGACATTGGATACACGATCCCACATCGTCTCATTGAATATATTGCTACACCCTCTTGACATTGGATACATAGTCCTACGTCGTCTCATTGAATATATTGCTACACCCTCTTGACATTGGATACACGATCCCACGTCGTCTCATTGAATATATTGCTACACCCTCTTGACATTGGATACACGATCCCACGTCGTCTCATTGAATATATTGCTACACCCTCTTGACATTGGATACACGATCCCACATCGTCTCATTGAATATATTGCTACACCCTCTTGACATTGGATACATAGTCCTACGTCGTCTCATTGAATATATTGCTACACCCTCTTGACATTGGATACACGATCCCACGTCGTCTCATTGAATATATTGCTACACCTTCTTGACATTGGATACACGATCCCACGTCGTCTCATTGAAACATGATCTCACATCATCTTGAGATTGAATACACGATCTCACGTCCTCTGGTAAAAAAATACACGATCTCACAACATCTTGACATTGAATACACGATCTCACACCCGCTTGACATTGAATACATGCTCTCACACCCGCATGACATTGAATACATGATCTCACAACATCTTGACATTGACTACACGATCTCACATCCTATTGACATTGAATACATGATCTCACACCCGCTTGACATTGAATACATGATCTCACAACATCTTGACATTGAGTACAATATCTCACATCCTCTTGACATTGAATACACGATCTCACACCTTCTGGACAAAAAATACACGATCTCACAACATGTTGACATTGAGTACATGATCTCACATTCTGCTGATATTGAATGCTTGATCTCACACCCTCTTGACATTAAATACACGATCTCACACCCTCCGGACAAAAAGTACACGATCTCACAACATCTTGACATTGAGTACACGATCTCACATCCTCTTGACATTGAATACATGATCTCACATCCGCTTGACATTGAATACACGATCTCACACCTTCTGGACAAAAAATACACGATCTCACAACATCTTGACATTGAGTACACGATCTCACATCCTCTTGACATTGAATACATGATCTCACATCCGCTTGACATTAATTACATGATCTCACAACATCTTGACAAAAAATATAAATACATTATTAAAAATGTAAAGCACCCCCTGTATATGATACAATGGCTGGACCTATAGGCTTTGGCATTGAAACCCTGATAACCTAACCTCGGAAAACAAAAGTGGTTTGCAAGAAGACACGTCTGACAATAAGAAAGCATACTGTTTTGAGATTTTATCACGATTCTCACAAACAAACTCAGAGGCACAATATTTGTGCAAAAACAGTAACCACATTAAGTATGGAGTCCACAATTCCAGATTATGAAAAATGTCATTTTCAGTCCAAAGATGACATTCATGACACAAATCATCAATGGCTGGGCAATCCATCACGTGCCCGGAAGGCAGCGTCCAGCCTTCGTCTTATCCCTCCAGAAAGTCGTCTGATCTGCTCTATGGTCACCTGCAGCCATTCCCGACGATAAGCTGCCTCTAGTTGGGCCAGAGTCTGTACCGGTGGGCCCAGTGCCTGTACGCGACCATGTATCCAATATGCTCAGGCGGGTTCAAGCCAGGACTCATGGCTACGGCAGTGTCGCTCCAGCAGCATTCTGGAGAAAATCTGTTACTGCTCGGGAACGTTGAGGCCTGGCATTGTCATCCATGTACACGGGTGGCGAGCGGGTGGTTGTTTAAATGTGGAACAACCACGTGGCAGGACGTCACGGATGTACCGATCACCACTGAGGTTGCCTTGGATGGCAAAATCCAGCTTACAGTGGAGCGAAAGGCAACCCCAAACCATGCGGGGCTGTGGTTCTTATGGTCTTGAGTGTGTAGGCCGTATTGTAGGCCTCCAACCCCTACATCGGCCACACGTGACATGGACCAGGAACCTGCTCTCATCGGACCAATGGCCTCTTCGCCAAGTCCTCAGATTCCAAGATCTCGAGGCCAAACACCATGCTGAACGAATTCTCCGATGAATGATCGGAAAGGAAGGGATTCTTGATTACTCTTCTGGACTCCATTCCGGACGATTTCCGTCGATTCCTCACTGTTTGGTTCACATGCGTGATTGGGTGGGTTTGGGTGGGTTTGGGTGGGTGGGTAAGTGAGTGAGTGAGTGAGTGAGTGACGGGCCACGGACCACGGGCCTTCGTTGTGATGAGAAAACGCTTAAACCACTAGGCTACCCAACCCCATGTATTGTAAACATTTAACATCCTTGTATTTCAGTGTGCTGCGAAACAAGACAGTAACTACGAGGACTCTCAGGCACGGGGAGCTATTGAAGACATCAGGGGCACATTGGAAGTAAGGAATGTCATACCTGTTGTCCTGTTGCAAGATAAGCATCGTAACTGGTAACTGTTTCTCTTGCATTCTGATCTGATATGTCACACAGCGGCAACTTCCTGACATTCACGAATAAGGGAAAGTGTGGAAGAAGATAAAGTTGTTTACGTTGACATTCGCCTCGATCTTTTTGACGTCTTTCTTCCAGCACGAGGCTAAGACTGTCCATGACAGGATTCCATCCCATAGGATCTATCGAATCGTACAAGCCCTCAAGGCTGCAAATGTAAGTGACATTGGTTGTTCACAAAGTGGCCACTAAACCCGAGGGAATGGATTGGTTGTTGAATGAGTTTATGAGTCGGTGGTTGAGTGACTTGCCTCAAAGACAACAGAGTTTGGATCAGGCAAACAGGATGTTTGAAATACGAGCAACCTAGAAGTATGTCCTTTCCAGAATCACATAACGGTAGCCATTTCTTTTACTCCACAATATACACGATTAGCACTACTTGTGTTACGGGTTACCACAAGCTCAAATCTCCTGAAATCTCCTTTTCGATCGTTTTTATGTTCAGTAACTGAAACAGTGTTACATTTTAAGAATGCTTGCTTCCTATAATGATATGTAAATTAACTTCATTTGTTACACGTGCAAATTCAGAAGATAGCGCATTTGTGAGAAACAATGTAATTGTGTCTAATTGCAGAGGTTTAAAACCGTGGACAAACCCACCAACTCCTCAAGGACATCCAAGGTTGAACCTGCAGACATACAGGTGCGTAGAGGCTCCTACAGATGTAGGCGTCACTAAACCCCCCTGTACTGGGGTGGTATCCGACATGAGGGCGAGGTTGAACCTGCAGACATACAGGTGGGTAGAGGCTCCTACAGATGTAGGAGTCACTAAACCCCCCTGTACTGGGTTGGTATCCGACATGAGGGCGAGGTTGAACCTGCAGACATACAGGTGCGTAGAGGTTCCTACAGATGTAGGAGTCACTAAACCCCCTGTACTGGGGTGGTATCCGACATGAGGGCGAGGTTGAACCTGCAGAGATACAGGTGCGTAGAGGCTCCTACAGATGTAGGAGTCACTAAACCCCCTGTACTGGGGTGGTATCGGACATGAGGGCGAGGTTGAACCTGCAGAGATACAGGTGCGTAGAGGCTCCTACAGATGTAGGAGTCACTAAACCCCCTGTACTGGGGTGGTATCCGACATGAGGGCGAGGTTGAACCTGCAGAGATACAGGTGCGTAGAGGTTCCCACAGATGTAGGCGTCACTAAACCCCCCTGTACTGGGGTGGTATCGGACATGAGGGCGAGGTTGAACCTGCAGAGATACAGGTGCGTAGAGGCTCCTACAGATGTAGGAGTCACTAAACCCCCCTGTACTGGGTGGTATCCGACATGAGGGCGAGGTTGAACCTGCAGACATACAGGTGCGTAGAGGCTCCTCCAGATGTAGGCGTCACTAAACCCCCCTGTACTGGGGTGGTATCCGACATGAGGGCGAGGTTGAACCTCCAGACATACAGGTGCGTAGAGGCTCCTACAGATGTAGGCGTCACTAAACCCCCCTGTACTGGGGTGGTATCGGACATGAGGGCGAGGTTGAACCTGCAGACATACAGGTGCGTAGAGGCTCCTCCAGATGTAGGCGTCACTAAACCCCCCTGTACTGGGGTGGTATCCGACATGAGGGCGAGGTTGAACCTGCAGACATACAGGTGCGTAGAGGCTCCTACAGATGTAGGCGTCACTAAACCCCCCTGTACTGGGGTGGTATCGGACATGAGGGCGAGGTTGAACCTGCAGACATACAGGTGCGTAGAGGCTCCTACAGATGTAGGCGTCACTAAACCCCCCTGTACTGGGGTGGTATCGGACATGAGGGCGAGGTTGAACCTGCAGACATACAGGTGCGTAGAGGCTCCTACAGATGTAGGAGTCACTAAACGCCCCTGTACTGGGGTGGTATCCGACATGAGGGCGAGAATTGGCCTCAGAGTTGCGTCTGCTGGCCATGTTCGTTAATCCTTTGTCCACAAGCACCAACAAGTTCAGTTACATAATGTCAGCTCCTAGTGGGAGGAAGACGTCGACATGGCACAGGTCGTGTACTTCACCACATTGGTTAAACCCGCGAGCAGGTGTGTAACGAAAGTTACTAATTTGCACGAAAATGTTATTTTATAGCCTACAATATGCAGACCATCAAGGAACGCAACTCTACACAGTGAATTCATTCAATACAGAAACGAATCAGTGCTAAGGACAACCTGTTTAATTTCCTTTTCGATTTTCTCCAGACTAAAAACGACGTTCAGCGTACTGCACCTAAGAAACAAGACGATAAGAAAACTCAGGTAAATGCGTGTCTTAATAATGCTCTGGGTAAGCCTGAAGGATGAAAATGTGTAAACATAGTGTGAGAGTACAGGACGTGTGTGTCTGAAGAATGAAGATGTGTAAACAGGATGTGAGAGTACAGGACGTATGTGTCTGGAGGATGAAGATGTGTAAACAGGATAAGTGAGTACAGGACGTATGTGTATCAAGGATGAAGATGTGTAAACAGGATGAGTGAGTACAGGACGTGTGTGTCTGGAGGATGAAGATGTGTAAACAGAATGTGAGAGTACAGGACGTGTGTGTCTGAGGGATGAAGATGTGTAAACAGGATGTGAGAGTACAGGACGTGTGTGTCTGGAGGATGAAGATGTGTAAACAGGATGAGTGAGTACAGGACGTGTGTGTCTGGAGGATGAAGATGTGTAAACAGAATGTGAGAGTACAGGACGTGTGTGTCTGGAGGATGAAGATGTGTAAACAGAATGTGAGAGTACAGGACGTGTGTGTCTGGAGGATGAAGATGTGTAAACAGGATGAGTGAGTACAGGACGTATGTGTCTGGAGGATGAAGATGTGTAAACAGGATGAGTGAGTACAGGACGTGTGTGTCTGAGGGATGAAGATGTGTAAACAGAATGTGAGAGTACAGGATGTTTGTGTCTGAAAGATGACCCGCGATTTGACTGGAATAATGTTAAAAGCGGCGTTAAACCCAACTCACTCACCACTGAAAGATAAAGATGTGTAAACAAGATGTAAGGGTACAGGATGAGTGAACACAGGACGTATGTATCTGAAGGATGAAGATGTGTAAACAGGATGCGTGAGTACAGGAGGTGTGTGTCTGAAGGATGAAGATGTGTAAACAGGATGAGCGAGTACAGGACGTATGTGTCTGAAGGATGAAGATGTGTAAACAGAATGTGAGAGTACAGGACGTAAGTGTCTGAAGGATGAAGATGTGTAAACAGGATGAGTGAGTACAGGAGGTTTGTGTCTGAAGGATGAAGATGTGTAAACAGAATGTGAGAGTACAGGACGTAAGTGTCTGAAGGATGAAGATGTGTAAACAGGATGAGTGAGTACAGGAGGTTTGTGTCTGAAAGATAAAGATATTTTGTTTAAATTCCTTTTCGATTGTCTCCAGACTAAAAACGACGTTCAGCGTACCGCACCTAAGAAACAAGACGACGGGAAAACTCAGGTAAATGCGTATCTTAATAATGCACTGGGTAAGCCTGAAGGAGGAAAATATGTAAACAGAATGTGAGAGTACAAGACGTGTGTTTCTGAGGGATGAAGATGTGTAAACAGGAAGAGTCAGTACAGGACATGTGTGTCTGAGGGATGAAGATGTGTAAACAGGATGAGTGAGTACAGGACGTATGTGTCTGAAGGATGGAGATGTGTAAACAGGATGAGTGAGTACAGGAGGTTTGTGTCTGGAGGATGAAGATGTGTAAACAGGAAGAGTGAGTACAGGAGGTTTGTGTCTGGAGGATGGAGATGTGTTAACAGGATGAGTGAACACAGGACGTATGTGTATCAAGGATGAAGATGTGTAAACAGGATGAGTGACTACAGGAGGTTTGTGTCTGAAGGATGGAGATGTGTAAACAGGATGAGCGAGTACAGGACGTGTGTGTCTGAAGGATGAAGATGTGTAAACAGGATGAGTGAGTACAGGACGTGTGTGTCTGAAGGATGAAGATGTGTAAACAGGATGAGTGAGTACAGGACGTATGTGTCTGAGGGATGAAGATGTGTAAACAGGATGAGTGAGTACAGGACGTATGTGTCTGAGGGATGAAGATGTGTAAACAGGATGAGTGAGTACAGGACGTATGTGTCTGAGGGATGAAGATGTGTAAACAGGATGAGTGAGTACAGGACGTATGTGTCTGAGGGATGAAGATGTGTAAACAGGATGAGTGAGTACAGGAGGTTTGTGTCTGGAGGATGAAGATGTGTAAACAGGAAGAGTGAGTACAGGAGGTTTGTGTCTGGAGGATGAAGATGTGTAAACAGGATGAGTGAGTACAGGAGGTTTGTGTCTGAAGGATGAAGATGTGTAAACAGTATGAGTAAGTACAGGACGTATGTGTCTGAAGGATGAAGATGTGTAAACAGAATGTGAGAGTACAGGACGTATGTGTGTCAAGGATGAAGATGTGTAAACAGTATGAGTGAGTACAGGACGTGTGTGTCTGAAGGATGAAGATGTGTAAACAGAATGTGAGAGTACAGGAGGTTAGTGTCTGGAGGATGAAGATGTGTAAGCAGGATGAGCGAGTACAGGACGTGTGTGTCTGAAGGATGAAGATGTGTAAACAGGATGAGTGAGTACAGGACGTATGTGTCTGAAGGATGAAGATGTGTAAACAGAATGTGAGAGTACAGGACGTATGTGTGTCAAGGATGAAGATGTGTAAACAGAATGTGAGAGTACAGGACGTGTGTGTATCAAGGATGAAGATGTGTAAACAGAATGTGAGAGTACAGGACGTGTGTGTATCAAGGATGAAGATGTGTAAACAGTATGAGTGAGTACAGGACGTATTTGTCTGAAGGATGAAGATGTGTAAACAGTATGAATGAGTACAGGACGTGTGTGTCTGAGGGATGAAGATGTGTAAACAGGATGAGTGAGTACAGGAGGTTAGTGTCTGGAGGATGGAGATGTGTAAACAGAATGTGTGAGTACAGGAGGTTAGTGTCTGGAGGATGGAGATGTGTAAACAGGATGAGCGAGTACAGGAGGTTAGTGTCTGGAGGATGAAGATGTGTAAACAGTATGAATGAGTACAGGACGTGTGTGTCTGAGGGATGAAGATGTGTAAACAGTATGAATGAGTACAGGACGTGTGTGTCTGAGGGATGAAGATGTGTAAACAGGATGAGTGAGTACAGGAGGTTAGTGTCTGGAGGATGGAGATGTGTAAACAGGATGAGTGAGTACAGGAGGTTAGTGTCTGGAGGATGGAGATGTGTAAACAGGATGAGCGAGTACAAGACGTGTGTGGGGGCGGTCCGGTAGCCTAGTGGGTAAAGCGTTCGCTTGTCACGCCGAAGACCCGGGTTCGATTCCCGACATGGGTACAATGTGTTAAGCCCATTTCTGGTGTCCCCCGCCGCGATATTGCTGAAATATTGCTAAAAGCGGCGTAAAACCATAATCACTCACTCACTGAAGGATGAAGATGTGTAAACAGGATGAGTGAGTACAGGACGTGTGTGTCTGAGGGATGAAGATGTGTAAACAGAATGTGAGAGTACAGGACGTATGTGTCTGGAGGATGAAGATGTGTAAACAGGATGAGTGAGTACAGGAAGTTTGTGTCTGAAGGATGGAGATGTGTAAACAGGATGAGTGAGTACAGGACGTATGTGTCTGAAGGATGAAGATGTGTAAACAGGATGAGTGAGTACAGGACGTATGTGTCTGAAGGATGAAGATGTGTAAACAGAATGTGTGAGTACAGGACGTGTGTGTCTGAAGGATGGAGATGTGTAAACAGGATGAGTGAGTACAGGACGTGTGTGTCTGAAGGATGGAGATGTGTAAACAGGATGAGTGAGTACAGGACGTGTGTGTCTGAAGGATGGAGATGTGTAAACAGAATGTGTGAGTACAGGACGTGTGTGTCTGAAGGATGGAGATGTGTAAACAGGATGAGTGAGTACAGGAAGTTTGTGTCTGAAGGATGGAGATGTGTAAACAGGATGAGTGAGTACAGGACGTGTGTGTCTGAAGGATGAAGATGTGTAAACAGAATGTGAGAGTACAGGACGTATGTGTCTGAAGGATGAAGATGTGTAAACAGAATGTGTGAGTACAGGACGTGTGTGTCTGAAGGATGAAGATGTGTAAACAGAATGTGAGAGTACAGGACGTATGTGTCTGAAGGATGAAGATGTGTAAACAGGATGAGTGAGTACAGGAGGTTTGTGTCTGAAGGATGAAGATGTGTAAACAGGATGAGTGAGTACAGGAAGTTTGTGTCTGAAGGATGAAGATGTGTAAACAGGATGAGTGAGTACAGGACGTGTGTGTCTGAAGGATGAAGATGTGTAAACAGAATGTGAGAGTACAGGACGTATGTGTCTGGAGGATGGAGATGTGTAAACAGAATGTGTGAGTACAGGACGTGTGTGTCTGAAGGATGAAGATGTGTAAACAGAATGTGAGAGTACAGGACGTGTGTGTCTGAAGGATGGAGATGTGTAAACAGGATGAGTGAGTACAGGACGTGTGTGTCTGAAGGATGAAGATGTGTAAACAGAATGTGAGAGTACAGGACGTATGTGTCTGAAGGATGAAGATGTGTAAACAGAATGTGTGAGTACAGGACGTGTGTGTCTGAAGGATGAAGATGTGTAAACAGAATGTGAGAGTACAGGACGTATGTGTCTGAAGGATGAAGATGTGTAAACAGGATGAGTGAGTACAGGAGGTTTGTGTCTGAAGGATGAAGATGTGTAAACAGAATGTGAGAGTACAGGACGTGTGTGTCTGGAGGATGAAGATGTGTAAACAGGATGAGTGAGTACAGGACGTGTGTGTCTGAAGGATGAAGATGTGTAAACAGAATGTGAGAGTACAGGACGTATGTGTCTGAAGGATGAAGATGTGTAAACAGGATGAGTGAGTACAGGACGTGTGTGTCTGAAGGATGAAGATGTGTAAACAGAATGTGAGAGTACAGGACGTATGTGTCTGAAGGATGAAGATGTGTAAACAGAATGTGTGAGTACAGGACGTGTGTGTCTGAAGGATGAAGATGTGTAAACAGAATGTGAGAGTACAGGACGTATGTGTCTGAAGGATGAAGATGTGTAAACAGGATAAGTGAGTACAGGACGTGTGTGTCTGAGGGATGAAGATGTGTAAACAGGATGCGTGAGTACAGGAGGTTTGTGTCTGGAGGATGAAGATGTGTAAACAGGATGAGTGAGTAGAGGACGTGTGTGTCTGTGGGATGAAGATGTGTAAACAGGATGAGTGAAGACAGGGCGTTTCTGTCTGAGGAATGGAGATGTGCAAACAGGATGAGTGAACACAGGACGTATGTATCTGAAGGATGAAGATGTGTAAACAGGATGAGTGAGTACAGGACGTGTGTGTCTGAAGGATGAAGATGTTTTGATAGGATGTGTATATAAGGATGTGTGTACAGTGTGTGTATGCATTGATACATGTGCATGTATGTATAACCTCTATAGCAGGTGCCCCTTTAACAAGTATGTATAACCTCTATAGCAGGTACCCCTTAAACAAGTATGTATAACCTCTATAGCAGGTGCCCCTTTAACAAGTATGTATAACCTCTATAGCAGGTGCCCGCTGACCTGGACAAGGACTCAGTACTTGACGTTGATGTGAGTATTAGTCCCAGCATAACTATTTATTTCTCATTGTGGCTGTTCATGAAGCATTATTTATCATAAGCGAGACAATAAATCGGATTGAGCTGAGCTGGCTGCTTAAATAATAATTGTTGACCGCGGTAGTCCAAGCTGTCATCAGAGCCGATTAAATTAGGCTCGGTGACTAAGTCGATTGCGTATCCTTCGCGCCGATGGAATGGATTATTGCTCATGTTTTCAGACGCTGGTTTACATTGTCCAGATTCCATGATTAACAGGCCGTCGAGATGTGACTAGACAATTGCCTGTTGCGGTATTAAACGACATTCACTCTCTCACTAGCAACTAGACGGTTGCACGTAGTAACATGTCCTTGTATTGTTCATTCCTGGTTGTAAGCACTAATACACAAGCTGCGTTTACCCTTCTGATCACCCGTCAGGTGTTCCTGAAACTGGTCTACACAGACAACATCATCAACACAGAGGACAACTTCGGCAACACCGCCCTGCATCTTGCAGCACAGAATGGACACACAGACTTTGTGCAGGTGTGTAGTGTTGGACATGTTGTCTGGTCTGGACCATGTGTGTCATAGAGCTGATATATTGACAGAAGTTGCCTCTACACGTGTAGGCGTTTGTAGACATCTCCAAACGCAACCTTGGGAGAACGGCCGGTCGGAAGAATAACTATAACAGAACATTTGTCCATTTATTAAGAATTGTGCGAAAAGTGTTAACAGTTGTTAAAAGTTGTCTCTCAAAGAATTGTTAACAATTCTTATCCATACGTTTTGCAATGTTCGAAATGCAACTGTTGCACTCAATGTAATGAGATTCAATTGCTAAATATTTTAGGTTTTAATAGACTGAAAAATAAATAGCCAGAGTTACTTCTCATTTTCATTTGCGCGGTTTTTTTCCAAAGGTGGGAGGAAAATATTCAACTGGGCAAATTGGTGGATATGACCTTTGTTGTATACTGGACTGGATAGGAGACACATACACAATCACAAACACACGCAAAAACCCATTGGTCAGAACAAATATCTGTAGTATCTAGCTGCACGGATGTGAAGGAATTGATGTCGACACTGTTATTATGCCTGAACAATGCACAATTGCAAGTTTATTATATATTTTCAGAAAATGCTGCTGAAACATAAAGTTGAACATGGGCGGAAAAACGACACTGAAAAGACAGCTCTACATCTCGCAGCAGAAAAAGGACACTCAAAGTAACGATTATTATTATCAGTAAGAAGTGAATGAGTGAGTGAGCGTATGTTGTTTTAGGCCATGTTCAGCAATATTCCAGCAAGTCCTGCTGTCTTTCATATGTGAATAGAGACATGGTAAACACGTGACAACTACTGTATGTTACTTCGAAAATATGAAAACAAGAAAACAATTACCATGAACCAGCCAATAAGCTTGAAGCAAATACCATGTTCAGTGAAAATAACTGAACATATTTTCATATTCCCATGCCTCTATAATGTATAGATCTATGGGGTATAAATCATGTCTTGACGTGAGTTGTCCATTCACATGCTTTTCACCATTCGCTTGCCTTTTTCACCCAGTGCAGTCTGTTCGGGCAGATAATCGAGGCTGATTATTCTATGGCCTTAACGTTTGGTATTATCAAGTGTTTCATAAGAGTGTAGTTTTCAAAAATATCACTGGAACAGTGTAGTTAACTGTAAATTTGTTTTCGAGGAGTCGTGTTATTCCACAATCTCAAACGACAAACTTTCGAATAAACTTCATTCCTTGATCCATTGATCATATGTTACTTAACGTGGTGACCAGATATATTTACATATCTACCTTCGGAGATTCAGGACACTTTGTTAAAAATGAAATGTTATCTGAACTTTACTGTGAAAACAATATGTGAAATGCTGATATTTGATATTGATATTAGGTTGGTGCATGTCATCGTATCTCAATTGCGTGGATCGATGCTCGATGGTGTCGATCACTGGATTGTCTGGTCCAGACTTAATTATTTACAGATCGCCGTCATATAGCTGGAATATAGCTAAGAACAATAAACAAAACAAAAACAAAACAACATGTTCATAGTTACTGACTGATTATTTACTCTTCGCTCTCAGGACTGTGGAGGTGATTGTGAAGGTGGACAAGCGAGGAGTGTTTGCAGAAGACCAATGGCGCAACTCCCCTCTACACTTGGCAGTGAAGGGCGGTCACATTGAAACTGCTGAAATTCTCATCAAGAATGGGGCGGACATTAACCAAATGTAAATACTTTGTGATTTATTGTAATATGTGCAATAATCTTGAACACGGCGTTAAACCCACTTTCACCATCCCAGTAACATCACAGCCTGAGAAATGTGTCTGGGTAATATCTTATTAATATTATAAATAATGCGAAAATGTAATATTGTATATACTAAAATATAGCAATATGGAGATTCCTATTGTTTTAATAAAACAAATTCAAAACTATGCAAGTATTCATTTCTGAAATGATGAAGAACAAGATTTATGTTTAAATGTTTTTTTTATATTTTGTCTGCTTCTGTGATGGGCAGTTCGGAAGCCTTGTGGTTTATGTGCTGGCTGATCATACTGGAAACCTCGGATCGATTGTGCAGATTAGTTCAATGTATAAAGACCCGTGTGATACCTCACCAACTCACTCACTCTTGACAGGAACTTGGACAAAATGACCCCTCTGGACCTGGCGGCACAACACGGCGAGGTTGAGATCTGCGACTTGCTGGTCAAACTGGAGTCACAGTCGTGGCTGGGGAAACACGAGGATGTAAGTTGGATATATACGGACAATTACACGAATAGGAATGTGTGTGGTGTGTGGTGTGTTTGTGTGTAGTGCGCGGTGCGTGGTGCGTGGTGTGTGGTGTGTGGTGTGTGGTGTGTAGTGTGTTTGTGTGATACCACTTTTTCGAGTGAGGTCAGATAAGGTGAAACGGAGTTTAACGTCGGTTCAAGATCATTGCATGTGTGTGTGTGTGTGTGTGCGTGCGTACGTGCGTGTGCATGCGTGCGTGCGTGCGTGCATGTGTGTACGTGTGTGATAGTAGATTTGGTATTGCTGCAGGTTGATCTATGGAAGATAATACATCATCAACTGGTATGAATCGAGGTGACAAGCTTTTGTCAGAGTTCATTGACAATCGATTGGCTGATAATGCTACACAAGTTTTCATGACAAAATACCCCAAAATATGTCCAAAAGTACATGTTCCACACTGTACACTATGCAGGTACCAAAGGCGTCAACTCAGACCAATACCTTATAAGCAAGGAAGAAATATCATCAGAAGGTTGCTGAGTGCCGCCCACTATGGAAGAGAAGTAAACGCACCACTCCTTCTCACACCTGAGCTGACCTTCCCTGGCAACAACAGATGGTCATCAAAGCTGCATTATCACATTTGCTTGTAGATTCTCATGCTGCTAAAGAGCTACCAGCAAATGATGACACAACATGCATTGTTATTGACGGCCAGGCTATTGGCAAACCAAGCAAAGCTAGGACCTTAGGAGATTTGTCTGAAGAACTTCAGTGAAACTTGTACTCATGTCGATGTTGTCTTTTGATCAACATGTTGCAAAGTCAGTAAAATCTGCTATTCGGACCAAAATAAACCCGATAGATCAAAGAAGATTCGAAGAATAGTCGATATATATCACGAATGTATTACATATGCAGTGTTACAGTGTACTGACATAGTGTTCCCAACTTTTTGCAAACACCTAGTGTCACCACTGCTGGCATAAGTGATTTTCAGTGATCCATTCCTTACTTTTCATCTCTCAGTTTCATGTACGCCCGTTGGAATCTGTCGGCAGATCTTCCAGACTGATTATTCTCTGGCGCTAATGTTTTCGATTTACCGCTACAGATCTGTCCACTCCATCTGGCCTGCATCAAAGGTCATCTCAAGGTGGTCAAGCTGCTGCTTCAAAAGCCGGCGGACGTGATGCAAAAGAACAACGACAAGGACAAGGGGCTCAACTGTCTCGATCTGGCCGTCAAATACGGGCACAAGTGAGATGCAGTCAAAGTGTCTATTTAACGCTACACTCAGCAATATTCAAGCTGTTTTGGTGGAAGCCTGTAAATAATCGTATTGGGACCAGACAATCCAGTGTTTGATATACTATGAACCAAGTCACCGAGTCCGACCACCTAGTCCATTAGGCATTCAGACAATCCAGTGTTTGATATACTATCAACCAAGTCACCGAGTCTGACCACCTAGTCCATTAGGTGAGGTGAGGTGAAATTGGGTTTAACGTCGCGTCCAAGATTATTGCACTTATATAGCGACGTGCATGCACGTGTATGTGTGTGTGTGGCTGCTTGTACTAGTCCGGACTGATGCCGATTTATAGTGCTAGCTCACTGAGATACCATGCCGCAGTTTAACATGAATACCCCACTCAGACACAGTATACTGACTCCGAGCCGACCAGTCCTTGTTTTAGCCCCTTAATGCCGAGCGCCAGACAGGGTAACAACAAGTACAATCTTTTAACGTCTTTTTGTATGACGCGACCCGGGATCGAACCCTGGACCTTCCGCTCTCCGGGCGGACGCTCTACCACAAGACCACGGAGGCGGTCCCTAGTCCATTAGGCCGTCAGACAATCCAGTGTTTGATGTACTATCAACCAAGTCACCGAGTCCGACCACCTAGTCCATTAGACCGTCAGACAACCCAGTGTTTGATATACTATCAACCAAGTCACCGAGTCTGACCACCTAGTCCATTAGGCAGTCAGACAATCCAGTGTTTGATGTACTATCAACCAAGTCACCGAGTCTGACCACCTAGTCCATTAGGCCTTCAGACAATCCAGTGTTTGATATACTATCAACCAAGTCACCGAGTCTGACCACCTAGTCCATTAGGCATTCAGACAATCCAGTGTTTGATATACTATCAACCAAGTCACCGAGTCTGACCACCTAGTCCATTAGGCCTTCAGACAACCCTCTGTTTGATATACTATCAACCAAGTCACCGAGTCTGACCACCTAGTCCATTAGGCCGTCAGACAATCCAGTGTTTGATATACTATCAACCAAGTCACCGAGTCCGACCACCTAGTCCATTAGGCCGTCAGGGAATAACCAGACTCTATGTTCCCCCGAGACAAGTACAAAATGTCGTGTAAGGCAAAATAGCGGTGAAAATTATATGAACTGGTCACTGAAAATCAGTTATGTTACCTGATTTATAAAATGGGGAAGCGTGTCCTGCTCTACCGGTAGCCCACACCCACGCATTTTCTATGAAAAAAATAAATGTTTGTTGCCTGTCGCCGCACAGCATCTAACTTTAAATAAGGGGAATGGGGAATTCCCTGTGTGATATAATGTGGTTTACAACTTCATGTAATTAACAATTTAGGTTAGAAGTCTGAGATAAGTCAGAATGACTAGACCTGAATAGAAATAAACCTGACAACAAGTGAAAGTAATTCTTTTCCTGTTTCAAGAGATGTCGCCCGGTACATCGTGAGACACAAGTATTGGGAAGATGCCTTAAGGAACCATGTTAGTATCAAGAAGAAAAACAACAAGATGTCCAGGAAGATAGTCACACCAATGCGAAGAATGATCCGTGACATGCCAGGTATGGTCAGATAACACGCACCTGTGGACTGATTGATTTCATTATGGAATGGTTACAATAAGTGAGTGAGTGAGTGAGTGAGTGAGTGAGTGAGTGTTTGTACTTTCTTCTTCTACATCCACATTCTACCCCCCCCCCCCCCCCCCCCCCCCCCCCCACACACACACACACACCGATGACATCCATACACCTTCAGACAGTCGTTTGTTTTAGATCTATCGCGGGCACAGATGACACCCATACACCTTCAGACAGTCGTTTGTTGCAGATCTATCGCGGACACAGATGAAACCCATACACCTTGAGACAGTCGTTTGTTTTAGATCTATCGTGGACACAGATGACACCCATACACCTTCAGACAGTCGTTTGTTTTAGATCTATCGTGGACACAGATGACACCCATACACCTTCAGACAATCGTTTGTTTTAGATCTATCGCGGACACAGATGACACCCATACAACTTGAGACAGTCGTTTGTTTTAGATTTATCGTGGACACAGATGACACCCATACACCTTCAGACAGTCGTTTGTTTTAGATCTATCGTGGACACAGATGACACCCATACACCTTCAGACAGTCGTTTGTTTTAGATCTATCGCGGACACAGATGACACCCATACAACTTGAGACAGTCGTTTGTTTTAGATCTATCGTGGACACAGATGAAACCCATACACCTTCAGACAGTCGTTTGTTTTAGATCTATCGTGGACACAGATGAAACCCATACACCTTCAGACAGTCGTTTGTTGCAGATCTATCGCGGACACAGATGACACCCATACAACTTGAGACAGTCGTTTGTTTTAGATCTATCGCGGACACAGATGACACCCATACACCTTCAGACAGTCGTTTGTTTTAGATCTATCGTGGACACAGATGAAACCCATACACCTTCAGACAGTCGTTTGTTTTAGATCTATCGCGGACACAGATGACACCCATACAACTTGAGACAGTCGTTTGTTTTAGATTTATCGTGGACACAGATGACACCCATACACCTTCAGACAGTCGTTTGTTGCAGATCTATCGCGGACACAGATGAAACCCATACACCTTGAGACAGTCGTTTGTTTTAGATCTATCGTGGACACAGATGACACCCATACACCTTCAGACAGTCGTTTGTTTTAGATCTATCGTGGACACAGATGACACCCATACACCTTCAGACAATCGTTTGTTTTAGATCTATCGCGGACACAGATGACACCCATACAACTTGAGACAGTCGTTTGTTTTAGATTTATCGTGGACACAGATGACACCCATACACCTTCAGACAGTCGTTTGTTTTAGATCTATCGTGGACACAGATGACACCCATACACCTTCAGACAGTCGTTTGTTTTAGATCTATCGCGGACACAGATGACACCCATACAACTTGAGACAGTCGTTTGTTTTAGATCTATCGTGGACACAGATGAAACCCATACACCTTCAGACAGTCGTTTGTTTTAGATCTATCGTGGACACAGATGAAACCCATACACCTTCAGACAGTCGTTTGTTGCAGATCTATCGCGGACACAGATGACACCCATACAACTTGAGACAGTCGTTTGTTTTAGATCTATCGCGGACACAGATGACACCCATACACCTTCAGACAGTCGTTTGTTTTAGATCTATCGTGGACACAGATGAAACCCATACACCTTCAGACAGTCGTTTGTTTTAGATCTATCGCGGACACAGATGACACCCATACAACTTGAGACAGTCGTTTGTTTTAGATTTATCGTGGACACAGATGACAACCATACAACTTGAGACAGTCGTTTGTTTTAGATCTATCGTGGACACAGATGAAACCCATACACCTTCAGACAGTCGTTTGTTTCAGATCTATCGTGGACACAGATGACACCCATACAACTTGAGACAGTCGTTTGTTTTAGATCTATCGCGGACACAGATGACACCCATACAACTTGAGACAGTCGTTTGTTTTAGATCTATCGTGGACACAGATGAAACCCATACAACTTGAGACAGTCGTTTGTTTTAGATCTATCGCGGACACAGATGACACCCATACAACTTGAGACAGTCGTTTGTTTTAGATCTATCGCGGACACAGATGACACCCATACAACTTGAGACAGTCGTTTGTTTTAGATCTATCGTTGACACAGATGAAACCCATACACCTTGAGACAGTCGTTTGTTTCAGATCTATCGCGGACACAGATGACACCCATACACCTTCAGACAGTCGTTTGTTTCAGATCTATCGTGGGCACAGATGACACCCATACACCTTCAGACAGTCGTTTGTTGCAGATCTATCGCGGACACAGATGAAACCCATACACCTTGAGACAGTCGTTTGTTTTAGATCTATCGTGGACACAGATGACACCCATACACCTTCAGACAGTCGTTTGTTTTAGATCTATCGTGGACACAGATGACACCCATACACCTTCAGACAATCGTTTGTTTTAGATCTATCGCGGACACAGATGACACCCATACAACTTGAGACAGTCGTTTGTTTTAGATTTATCGTGGACACAGATGACACCCATACACCTTCAGACAGTCGTTTGTTTTAGATCTATCGTGGACACAGATGACACCCATACACCTTCAGACAGTCGTTTGTTTTAGATCTATCGCGGACACAGATGACACCCATACAACTTGAGACAGTCGTTTGTTTTAGATCTATCGTGGACACAGATGAAACCCATACACCTTCAGACAGTCGTTTGTTTTAGATCTATCGTGGACACAGATGAAACCCATACACCTTCAGACAGTCGTTTGTTGCAGATCTATCGCGGACACAGATGACACCCATACAACTTGAGACAGTCGTTTGTTTTAGATCTATCGCGGACACAGATGACACCCATACACCTTCAGACAGTCGTTTGTTTTAGATCTATCGTGGACACAGATGAAACCCATACACCTTCAGACAGTCGTTTGTTTTAGATCTATCGCGGACACAGATGACACCCATACAACTTGAGACAGTCGTTTGTTTTAGATTTATCGTGGACACAGATGACACCCATACACCTTCAGACAGTCGTTTGTTTTAGATCTATCGTGGACACAGATGACACCCATACACCTTCAGACAGTCGTTTGTTGCAGATCTATCGCGGACACAGATGACACCCATACAACTTGAGACAGTCGTTTGTTTTAGATCTATCGTGGACACAGATGAAACCCATACACCTTCAGACAGTCGTTTGTTTTAGATCTATCGTGGACACAGATGAAACCCATACACCTTCAGACAGTCGTTTGTTGCAGATCTATCGCGGACACAGATGACACCCATACAACTTGAGACAGTCGTTTGTTTTAGATCTATCGCGGACACAGATGACACCCATACACCTTCAGACAGTCGTTTGTTTTAGATCTATCGTGGACACAGATGAAACCCTTACACCTTCAGACAGTCGTTTGTTTTAGATCTATCGCGGACACAGATGACACCCATACAACTTGAGACAGTCGTTTGTTTTAGATTTATCGTGGACACAGATGACAACCATACAACTTGAGACAGTCGTTTGTTTTAGATCTATCGTGGACACAGATGAAACCCATACACCTTCAGACAGTCGTTTGTTTCAGATCTATCGTGGACACAGATGACACCCATACAACTTGAGACAGTCGTTTGTTTTAGATCTATCGCGGACACAGATGACACCCATACAACTTGAGACAGTCGTTTGTTTTAGATCTATCGTGGACACAGATGAAACCCATACAACTTGAGACAGTCGTTTGTTTTAGATCTATCGCGGACACAGATGACACCCATACAACTTGAGACAGTCGTTTGTTTTAGATCTATCGTGGACACAGATGACACCCATACAACTTGAGACAGTCGTTTGTTTTAGATCTATCGTTGACACAGATGAAACCCATACACCTTGAGACAGTCGTTTGTTTCAGATCTATCGCGGACACAGATGACACCCATACACCTTCAGACAGTCGTTTGTTTCAGATCTATCGTGGGCACAGATGACACCCATACACCTTCAGACAGTCGTTTGTTTTAGATCTATCGCGGACACAGATGAAACCCATACACCTTGAGACAGTCGTTTGTTTTAGATCTATCGTGGACACAGATGACACCCATACACCTTCAGACAGTCGTTTGTTTTAGATCTATCGTGGACACAGATGACACCCATACACCTTCAGACAATCGTTTGTTTTAGATCTATCGCGGACACAGATGACACCCATACAACTTGAGACAGTCGTTTGTTTTAGATTTATCGTGGACACAGATGACACCCATACACCTTCAGACAGTCGTTTGTTTTAGATCTATCGTGGACACAGATGACACCCATACACCTTCAGACAGTCGTTTGTTTTAGATCTATCGTGGACACAGATGACACCCATACACCTTCAGACAGTCGTTTGTTGCAGATCTATCGCGGACACAGATGACACCCATACAACTTGAGACAGTCGTTTGTTTTAGATCTATCGCGGACACAGATGACACCCATACACCTTCAGACAGTCGTTTGTTTTAGATCTATCGTGGACACAGATGAAACCCATACACCTTCAGACAGTCGTTTGTTTTAGATCTATCGCGGACACAGATGAAACCCATACAACTTGAGACAGTCGTTTGTTTTAGATTTATCGTGGACACAGATGACAACCATACAACTTGAGACAGTCGTTTGTTTTAGATCTATCGTGGACACAGATGAAACCCATACACCTTCAGACAGTCGTTTGTTTCAGATCTATCGTGGACACAGATGACACCCATACAACTTGAGACAGTCGTTTGTTTTAGATCTATCGCGGACACAGATGACACCCATACAACTTGAGACAGTCGTTTGTTTTAGATCTATCGTGGACACAGATGAAACCCATACAACTTGAGACAGTCGTTTGTTTTAGATCTATCGCGGACACAGATGACACCCATACAACTTGAGACAGTCGTTTGTTTTAGATCTATCGTGGACACAGATGACACCCATACAACTTGAGACAGTCGTTTGTTTTAGATCTATCGTTGACACAGATGAAACCCATACACCTTGAGACAGTCGTTTGTTTCAGATCTATCGCGGACACAGATGACACCCATACACCTTCAGACAGTCGTTTGTTGCAGATCTATCGTGGGCACAGATGACACCCATACACCTTCAGAAAGTCGTTTGTTTTAGATCTATCGCGGGCACAGATGAAACCCATACTCCTTCAGACAGTCGTTTGTTTTAGATCTATCGCGGGCACAGATGACACCCATACACCTTCAGACAGTCGTTTGTTTTAGATCTATCGTGGACACAGATGACACCCATACACCTTCAGACAGTCGTTTGTTTTAGATCTATCGCGGGCACAGATGACACCCATACACCTTCAGACAGTCGTTTGTTTTAGATCTATCGCGGGCACAGATGACACCCATACTCCTTCAGACAGTCGTTTGTTGCAGACCTAGCGTGAACATAGATGACACACGTGTATGTGCACCCGTTGACATTTATTCACACGCTCTGTTGTTAACTAGTCATCGGAAGAAGCATTTTATCGAAAGTGTCACCCGAAACAGCATTTTCACCAAACTGTTTGTTTCAGACTTGGCGTACGAGGTGCTAGAAAGATGTACAGAAACCGTAGTCAACAGTGAAACAGGAAAGGAGGAAAAAAAGTACAACTTCGAATTCGTTGACGACCTATATGAAAACTGGGCAATTCCAGGTAAACATACAGCATTCATTGCTCAGTTAAGCTTTCAGAAAGTTTTTTTAATGGTAGTGAAGTGAATGACATTTCCAAATCTGACTTCCCTTGGTATACTTTTGTGACGGGTTCCACCGGTGGAGCAGGACAGTCTCACCTTTTCATGAACTCCTGGTGTCATCACGAGTCATGGTGATTCTAAAACATGCTCATGCTATGGTCGGAATCGTACATTCGACTCTGTTTTGGGCAGTGATTTCTTATGAATATGGAAAGGGATATGTCGCTTTTTTCGATGCAACCAACATACACTGGTATAATGCTAAAACCAAGAAACATTGTCTGGGAAATTCTGGAATTCGAACTGACAATCACGATCTTAAACGCCACAAGGACGCAGGAGTGTGGCTGCTTTGACGACTGGGCCACTCGTGTCTCACCGCAGACAGTCAAATAGGAATATGGTAACAGATTAATACCGGATGTTCCACTCCATTCAGTGATCGTATGAGAAGGACACACTATAGGTCAAAATGGCTACTGAGTCACTGTCGGGTGATCTTGATACATATATGTAAACACAGGCCTGTATATCACGGGAACATTTCTATAAGCATACGAATCCCCTGATTCCAAGCTGCCATGGTTACTGACGGAGAAGAGAGTCAAGTGGAGTGCAGACGGGTCTCTAGCCCTTGTGCGTTACTACGGACACACTACGTGCTGCCACGGCAACAGTGTCTCAATCAATATTGGCGTACCTTTAACTGCTTATATCAACAACAACGTTAAATGTACAACGTCCCAGTATCAATCATTTTATATCTATTCACGACATATTGCAGGTTGCAGAATCTAAACACAAATGGAAACAAGGTTTTTGTATAAGAAAAATATCAAAAGTCTGATTCCTATTGAATGAATCCATATTGGTAATAATGCACGTATCCTCTTCGAGATAACAGATATAGTCAATGTACATGTAGTGTTGTACTGTGAATGTAGTTAAACATGTTTAGACATCCTGCACCATTATGATTCTTTCTTTCAGATAGAAAGAAGAAGAAACACACTGAGGTTGACCTCGAAAAGAGAAAAGTTCCGTACACCCACAGGGCCAGTGTGATCAAAAACAACCACCCACTGTCTATCATGGTAATTCTTTTTGGAGATTTCCCTCTCTTGAGTGAGTCAGTTTTGTTTAACGCCACTATTTAATGGTATTTATTCCATATCACGTCACATCAGCTTGGTAGAAGATGAAAATCCAAAATGATGCAGGTCTGATGCGTTTACAAATTTTGTGAATGCCATGAGCACGGGCTAAGTCCTGGCAAATCTAGATACATTGACAGGGCGAACCGGGTTTTCTAACGCTTGATCATAGGCGTCTGGCACACCTAGGGGACGCAACTCTGCATGGCAAATAGTAGCATCATAGATTGGGTCACCAGTGTCTCCTCCTCTCATGTCCCAAGTTGAGCAGAATATTATACATCATTACACGAACTTTGGTATATGACACATGTCTTATAATAACCTTTCCATAGACTTAAGAAATCTCTATAAAAACAGAGTCGATTGTACGATTGCGACTATATCATGAGCATGTGTTTATGAATCACTATCAAAAAGGGATGATACCAGGTGTTTGCGAAAAGGACGGCGTATCCTGCCCACAAAGAACGTACGTCTGTACAACTAATTTGCCTGAAACTCAAACATGTCGGTATGACAAGAGCCTGAATAAAATTCACCTGAACATGCGACGTAGTATTGACAATGGTCGAATGCAGCTTTCAACGAGGTGAAGTGATGTGTCTAAACACTGTGACACTATGCAAGAAGTCCTGTATCTTGACACTGTGACACTACATGTGAAGTTCTGTATCTAGACACTGTGATGCTACATGTGAAGTTCTGTATCTAGACCCCGTGATGCTACACATAAAGCGTTGTATCTAGACACTGTGATACTACACATGAAGTGCTGTATCTAGACAATGTGACACTACACGTGAAGCGTTGTATCTAGATCACGTTACACAACATGTGAAGTTCTGTATCTAGACACTGTGATGCTATACATAAAGCGTTGTATCTAGACACTGTGATACTACACATGAAGTGCTGTATCTAGACAATGAGACACCACACATGAAGCGTTGTATCTAGATCACGTGACACTACATGTGAAGTTCTGTATCGAGACGACCCGTGAAGATCCGGGGTAGAATAGGTCTTCAGCAACCCATGCTTGCCGTAAAAGGCGACTATGCTTGTCGTAAAAGGCAACTAACGGGATCGGGTGGTCAGACTCGCTAAGTTGGTGATGCATGTCGTCGATCCCAATTGCGTGGATCGATGCTCATGATGTCAATCACTGAATTATCTGGTCCATACTCGATTATTTACAGACCGCCGTCATATAGCTGGAATATTGCTGAGTGCGGCGTTAAACAACAAATAAACAAACTGTATCTAGATACTGTGATACTACACATTTATATGACAGGTGGAGTGTAACAGGGATGAGCTGCTGCAGCATCCTTTGGTCAACAAACTCATCAAGAGGAAATGGTGGCATTTTGGGGCCTACTATTATCTGGCTAACTTCGGCGTTCATCTTTTCTTTGTCATCCTGCTGACGAGATACATGCTCCAGTCCACTCATCCCCGCGGCTAGTAAGCTCACATCAAATACATTCAGTACATTCTTATTGGATTTATATTTTAAATTGTGTACAACTTCACGGAGGTACATTCATGTTAAGTGTAATTCAAATTCCTACGATTCAAACAGAATGGTAAAATGGTAATCCCCGGCTCATACACTACCAGTTATTCTGGGACAATTTGGTAGCCTTGTGGTTCAGGCTTTCGCCTGCGTGTGAAGCCCTTATCTGGTATTCTCTGTCGTGATGTTGCTTGCATATTGCTAAAGGCAGCGTAAAGCCATATTCACACCCTCTAGTAATCCTACAAATATGGCTGTAGCTGTCGTTAGGTTTTGGTTGAGAAGATAGTGATGTAGAACGTCATGATCACCTGGAGGATGTCTGCCTCACCACATAGTTAGTGTAGATGGCTGTGATTTTGTGGCAGACTAAGGTTGTACATGACAGTACTTTTCATTTCGAGAGAACAGTTAATTTTATCCTGCACCTTCACTTCGTCTTCAGTACCAAGGCGGTATCCACATCAATCAACGACAACACATGCTCCAAGGAGGTCAGCTACGGGCTTGTTGTAGAGAAAATCCTTTTGTATGTCGTCATGGGCGTAGGAGCATTCTTTGAGGTGAATATCTGCAATCTGAATCACATTGTTTTCACTTGTGCGGTTTTGAATTTCTAATATCTTCCTAAATTTAAGGAATATTCAAGCATCCGATTCGCAGACTTGCTTTGTTTGGCTGACGTTGTCTTATCAATCAAAAAGCTAAGGGCTAGTTCCTGACTGAAACACTTTACGTCACAAGTATGGAATATCTACCTCAGTCTACACACCACAAGTATAGACGTCAATTTCAGCCCAAACAGATATCATGGCGCAACCATATCAGTTATGATACCCGTTGCCCTCAAACGTTCTAGTTGGGTTTCCATTATTGACACGTACCTCCGATAAGTGCACGTAAAATCTTCCACTAGAAAACACATTGATAAATATTTTAATCTTATGTATCTGCCTGGTTTGCTGTGCTCATCTTTGTAATTCGCCTTCAGTCCCGCCTTCTCTTGTTTTTTCATTATCAGTCTTTACTGTCAGCCCGCCCTACTTAATAGACCATGTACCTCCTTCATGATGCATTCCCTATCTATAGCATAGTCTATCCTTCTCTCACATGTCTGCGTCAACAGTCCTTCCGAAACGACTTGCATGTCTGCTGCTGCAACGTTGTGTGACTGATAGAAAGGAAGCAACGTTGTGTGACTGATAGAAAAGAAGCAACGTTGTGTGACTGATAGAAAGGAAGCAACGTTGTGTGACTGATAGAAAGGAAGCAACGTTGTGTGACTGATAGAAAGGAAACAACGTTGTGTGACTGATAGAAAGGAAGCAACGTTGTGTGACTCATAGAAAGGAAGCAAGTTGTGTGACTCATAGAAAGGAAACAACGTTGTGTGACTGATAGAAAGGAAGCAAGTTGTGTGGCTGATAGAAAGGAAGCAACGTTGTGTGACTGATACAAAGGAAACAACGTTGTGTGACTGAGAGAAAGGAAGCAAGTTGTGTGGCTGATAGAAAGGAAGCAACGTTGTGTGACTGATACAAAGGAAGCAACGTTGTGTGACTGATAGAAAGTAAGCAAGTTGTGTGGCTGATAGAAAGGAAGCAAGTTATGTGACTGATAGAAAGGAAGCAACGTTGTGTGACTGATAGAAAGGAAGCAAAGTTGTGTGACTGATAGAAAGGAAGCAAAGTTATGTCACTGCTAGAAAGGAAGCAACGTTTTGTGACTGATAGAAAGGAAGCAAGGTTGTGTGACTGATAGAAAGGAAGCAACGTTCTGTGACTGATAGAAAGGAAGCAACGTTGTGTGACTGATAGACAGGAAGCAACGTTGTGTGACTGATAGAAAGGAAGCAACGTTGTGTGACTGATAGAAAGGAAACAACGTTGTGTGACTGATAGAAAGGAAGCAACGTTGTGTGACTGATAGAAAGGGAGCAACGTTGTGTGACTGATAGAAAGGAAGCAACGTTGTGTGACTGATAGAAAGGAAGCAACGTTGTGTGACTGATAGAAAGGAAGCAAGTTGTGTGACTGATAGAAAGGAAGCAACGTTGTGTTACTGATGGAAAGGAAGCAACGTTTTGTGACTGATAGAAAGGAAGCAAGGTTGTGTGACTGATAGAAAGGAAGCAACGTTCTGTGACTGATAGAAAGGAAGCAACGTTGTGTGACTGATAGACAGGAAGCAACGTTGTGTGACTGATAGAAAGGAAGCAACGTTGTGTGACTGATAGAAAGGAAACAACGTTGTGTGACTGATAGAAAGGAAGCAACGTTGTGTGACTGATGGAAAGGAAGCAACGTTGTGTGACTGATAGAAAGGAAGCGACGTTGTGTGACTGATAGGAAGGAAGCAAGTTGTGTGGCTGATAGAAAGGAAGCAACGTTGTGTGACTGATACAAAGGAAGCAACGTTGTGTGACTGATAGAAAGGAAGCAACGTTAAGTGACTGATAGAAAGGAAACAACGTTGTGTGACTGATAGAAAGGAAGCAAGTTGTGTGACTGATAGAAAGGAAGCAAGTTGTGTGACTGATGGAAAGGAAGCACGTTATGTGACTGATAGAAAGGAAGCAAGTTGTGTGACTGAAAGAAAGGAAACAAAGCTGTGTGACTGATAGAAAGGAAGCAACGTTTTGTGACTGATAGAAAGGAAGCAAGTTGTGTGACTGATAGAAAGGAAACAACGTTGTGTGACTGATAGAAGGGAAGCAACGTTGTGTGACTGATAGAAAGGAAGCAACGTTAAGTGACTGATAGAAAGGAAGCAAGGTTGTGTGACTGATAGAAAGGAAACAACGTTGTGTGACTGATAGAAAGGAAGCAACGTTGTGTGACTGATAGAAAGGAAGCAAAGTTGTGTGACTGATAGAAAGGAAGCAACGTTGTGTGACTGATAGAAAGGAAACAACGTTGTGTGACTGATAGAAATGAAGCAACAATGTGTGACTGATAGAAGGGAAGCAACGTTGTGTGACTGATGGAAAGGAAACAACGTTGTGTGACTGATAGAAAGGAAGCAACGTTGTGTGACTGATGGAAAGGAAGCAAGTTGTGTAACTGATAGAAAGGAAGCAACGTTAAGTGACTGATAGAAAGGAAACAACGTTGTGTGACTGATAGAAAGGAAGCAAGTTGTGTGACTGATAGAAATGAAGCAAGTTGTGTGACTGATGGAAAGGAAGCACGTTATGTGACTGATAGAAAGGAAGCAAGTTGTGTGACTGAAAGAAAGGAAACAAAGCTGTGTGACTGATAGAAAGGAAGCAACGTTGTGTGACTGATAGAAAGGAAGCAAGTTGTGTGACTGATAGAAAGGAAACAACGTTGTGTGACTGATAGAAGGGAAGCAACGTTGTGTGACTGATAGAAAGGAAGCAACGTTAAGTGACTGATGGAAAGGAAGCAAGTTGTGTGACTGATAGAAAGGAAGCATGCAAAGGTAAGTCAATTGTTCACATGAAATAACAAATAGTGATAGAAATAGAGGAAAGAGTGTCGATCGGTATGCGTGTATTTGCAGATAGTCCAGATGCTCAACATGCGGACAGCCTACTTGAGTAATCTGGAGAGTTACGTTGAGTGGGTCGCCTACATCTTCACGTTTCTCCTTCTGTTGGAGTTCAGTGAGTGCACCGTAACCACAGGCTACCGACAGGTGAGGCCGCAGCATTAACAACATCTCTACACTGCACAATGTTATTGAAATGTCTGTTTAAGGGCAATTCTTTTCAATGAATAACTTTTTTTTGGCCGCTCGTATGGACACTTTGGTTTAACATTTATCTTCTTGTAGACAGCTCTCAAGCAGCACCTGTACTGAATTGGTATAGCCAGATAGGGTCGATGCTAGCCAAGTGTATGTAATGCATCTGGCAAACGAGCATCAGTCGCCTTTTCACAGTTTTCCCATTTAACTGTTTACATTGCATTACATACGTGTTTATGCTTAATTAATTACAATATTCAAGTGTCAATATTCAAGAATGGAACATGATGTTTCGGTTCCGAGAGTGGGAGTGAGAGTGAGTGTGAGAGTGAGAGTGAGAGTGAGAGTGAGTGTGAGTGTGAGTGTGAGTGTGAGTGTGAGAGTGAGTGTTAGTGTGAGAGTGAGTGTGAGTGTGAGTGTGAGTGTGAGAGTGAGTGTGAGTGGGATTGTGAGAGTGAGTGTGAGAGTGAGAGTGAGTGTGAGAGTGAGTGTGAGAGTGAGTGTGAGAGTGAGTGTGAGAGTACGTGTGAGAGTGAGTGTGATTGTGAGAGTGAGTGTGAGTGTGAGAGTGAGTGTGAGTGAGAGTGAGTGTGAGAGTGAGTGTGAGAGTGAGTGTGAGAGTGAGTGTGAGTGTGAGAGTGAGAGTGAGTGTGAGAGTGAGTGTGAGAGTGAGAGTGAGAGTGAGTGTGAGTGTGAGTGTGAGTGTGATAGTGAGTGTGAGAGTGAGTGTGAGTGTGAGTGTGAGTGTGATAGTGAGTGTGAGAGTGAGTGTGAGTGTGAGTGTGAGAGTGAGTGTGAGTGTGTGTGTGAGTGTGAGTGTGAGAGTGAGTGTGAGAGTGAGCTTGAGTGTGAGAGTGAGAGTGAGTGTGAGAGTGAGTGTGAGTGTGAGAGTGAGTGTGAGAGTGAGTGTGAGTGTGAGAGTGAGAGTGAGTGTGAGTGTGAGTGTGAGTGTGAGAGTGAGTGTGAGTGTGAGAGTGAGAGTGAGAGTGAGCTTGAGTGTGAGAGTGAGAGTGAGAGTGAGTGTGAGTGTAAGTGTGAGTGTGAGAGTGAGTGTGAGTGGGATTGTGAGAGTGAGTGTGAGAGTGAGAGTGGGAGTGAGTGTGAGTGTGAGTGTGAGAGTGAGTGTGAGTGTGAGAGTGAGAGTGAGTGTGAGTGTGAGAGTGAGAGTGGGAGTGAGTGTGAGTGTGAGAGTGAGAGTGAGAGTGAGTGTGAGTGTGAGAGTGAGAGTGAGAGTGAGAGTGAGTGTGAGTGTGAGTGTGAGTGTGAGAGTGGGTGTGAGTGTGAGAGTGATTGTGAGAGTGAGAGTGAGTGTGAGTGTGAGAGTGAGAGTGAGAGTGGGGTGAGCTTGAGTGTGAGAGTGAGAGTGAGAGTGAGTGTGAGAGTGAGTGTGAGAGTGAGTGTGAGTGGGATTGTGAGAGTGAGTGTGAGAGTGAGAGTGAGAGTGAGAGTGAGTGTGAGTGTGAGAGTGAGAGTGAGAGTGAGAGTGAGTGTGAGTGTGAGAGTGAGAGTGAGAGTGAGTGTGAGAGTGAGAGTGAGAGTGAGAGTGGGTGTGAGTGTGAGAGTGATTGTGAGAGTGAGAGTGAGTGTGAGTGTGAGAGTGAGAGTGAGAGTGGGGTGAGCTTGAGTGTGAGAGTGAGAGTGAGAGTGAGTGTGAGAGTGAGTGTGAGAGTGAGTGTGAGTGGGATTGTGAGAGTGAGTGTGAGAGTGAGAGTGAGAGTGAGAGTGAGAGTGAGTGTGAGTGTGAGAGTGAGAGTGAGAGTGAGAGTGAGTGTGAGTGTGAGAGTGAGAGTGAGAGTGAGTGTGAGAGTGAGAGTGAGAGTGAGAGTGAGTGTGAGTGTGAGAGTGAGTGGGATTGTGAGAGTGAGTGTGAGCTTGAGTGTGAGTGTGAGAGTGAGAGTGAGTGTGAGAGTGAGTGTGAGAGTGAGAGTGAGTGTGAGTGTGAGTGGGATTGTGAGAGTGAGTGGGATTGTGAGAGTGAGTGTGAGTGGGATTGTGAGAGTGAGTGTGAGTGTGAGTGTGAGTGGGATTGTGAGAGTGAGTGTGAGAGTGAGTGTGAGTGTGAGTGGGATTGTGACAGTGAGTGTGAGTGTGAGTGTGAGTGTGAGTGGGATTGTGAGAGTGAGTGTGAGAGTGAGTGTGAGTGTGAGTGGGATTGTAAGAGTGAGTTGGATTGTGAGTGTGAGTGGGATTGTGAGAGTGAGTGTGAGTGTGAAAGTAAATGTGAGTGTGAGTGTGAGTGTGAGTGTGATTGTGAGAGTGAGTGTGAGTGTGAGTGGGATTGTGAGAGTGAGTGTGAGTGTGAGAGTGATTGTGAGAGTGAGTGTGAGTGTGAAAGTAAATGTGAGTGTGAGTGTGAGTGTGAGTGTGATTGTGAGAGTGAGAGTGAGAGTGAGTGGGATTGTGAGAGTGAGTGTGAGTGTGAGTGGGATTGTGAGAGTGAGTGTGAGTGTGAGTGTGAGTGTGAGTTGGATTGTGAGAGTGAGTGTGAGTGGGATTGTGAGAGTGAGTGTGAGAGTGAGAGTGAGCGTGAGTGTGAGTGTGAGTGTGAGTGTGAGTGGGATTGTGAGAGTGAGTGTGAGTGTGAGTGGGATTGTGAGAGTGAGTGGGATTGTGAGTGTGAGTGTGAGTGGGATTGTGAGTGTGAGTGTGAGTGTGAGTGGGATTGTGAGAGTGAGTGGGATTGTGAGTGTGAGTGTGAGTGTGAGTGGGATTCTGAGAGTGAGTGTGAGTGTGAGAGTGAGAGTGAGAGTGAGTGTGAGTGTGAGTGAGAGTGAGAGTGAGTGTGAGAGTGAGTGTGAGTGTGAGAGTGAGAGTGAGTGTGAGTGAGAGTGAGTGTGAGTGTGAGAGTGAGAGTGAGTGTGAGTGTGAGTGTGAGAGTGAGAGTGAGAGTGAGTGTGAGTGAGAGTGAGTGTGAGTGTGAGAGTGAGAGTGTGTGAGAGTGAGAGTGAGTGTGAGAGTGAGTGGGATTGTGAGAGTGAGTGTGAGTGGGATTGTGAGAGTGAGTGGGATTGTGAGAGTGAGTGTGAGTGGGATTTTGAGAGTGAGAGTGAGTGTGAGTGTGAGTGTGAGTGTGAGTGTGAGTGTGAGTGGGATTGTGAGAGTGAGTGTGAGTGTGAGTGGGATTGTGAGAGTGAGTGTGAGTGGGATTTTGAGAGTGAGAGTGAGTGTGAGTGTGAGTGTGAGAGTGAGAGTGAGTGTGAGTGTGAGTGGGATTGTGAGAGTGAGTGTGAGAGTGAGTGTGAGAGTGAGTGTGAGAGTGAGAGTGTGTGTGAGTGGGATTGTGAGAGTGAGTGTGAGAGTGAGTGTGAGTGTGAGAGTGAGAGTGAGTGGGATTGTGAGAGTGAGTGTGAGTGTGAGTGGGATTGTGAGAGTGAGTGTGAGAGTGAGTGTGAGAGTGAGTGTGAGAGTGAGAGTGAGTGTGAGTGTGAGTGGGATTGTGAGAGTGAGTGTGAGAGTGAGTGTGAGTGTGAGAGTGAGAGTGAGTGGGATTGTGAGAGTGAGTGTGAGTGTGAGTGGGATTGTGAGAGTGAGTGTGAGTGGGATTTTGAGAGTGAGAGTGAATGTGAGTGTGAGAGTGAGTGTGAGAGTGAGTGTGAGTGTGAGTGTGAGTGTGAGAGTGAGAGTGAGTGTGAGTGTGAGTGGGATTGTGAGAGTGAGTGTGAGAGTGAGTGTGAGTGTGAGAGTGAGAGTGAGTGGGATTGTGAGAGTGAGTGTGAGTGTGAGTGGGATTGTGAGTGTGAGTGTGAGTGTGAGTGGGATTGTGAGAGTGAGTGGGATTGTGAGTGTGAGTGTGAGTGTGAGTGGGATTGTGAGAGTGAGTGTGAGTTTGAGAGTGAGAGTGAGTGTGAGTGTGAGTGTGAGTGAGAGTGTGAGTGTGAGTGGGATTGTGAGAGTGAGTGGGATTGTGAGTGTGAGTGTGAGAGTGAGAGTGGGTGTGAGTGTGAGTGGGATTGTGAGAGTGAGTGTGAGCTTGAGTGTGAGTTCCTTAACATGCAATATACTGAAATAAGAAACATTATTGAGGAGCGGGACCGCGAGTCACATGAACTGGTATTATTGTTGGCGGAAGGTGTGTTACATTGTTATATCTTAGGACAAACCTTGCAGTTACCAATGTGCTTCTCTACAGGACTGGCAGTGGTCTCTGGGCGCTTTCGCCCTCTTCTTCTCCTGGATTGACCTGGTGCTATACCTCAAGGCCTTCACGTCCCTAGGCTTGTATGTCGTCATGTTCCAGCTCGTCTGTTGGACGTTTCTCAAGGTGTTTCTGGTGTTCTTCTCACTCCTACTCGCCTTCGCCCTCGGATTCCACACACTTTTACAAAACCAGGTAAACAATAGCTTCCCCTTGTTCTCAATGGAAGTCCCATTTAGCAACTCGAACGAAGCAATAATGATCCGATGCATCGTAGATCACATATGGAAGTAAGTAGGATAGTACCTTAGTTTGGCCGAAATGAGATCAAGTCATATTTTCAAGAAAATATATCCCCTGTAAAATATTTAAATAAAACCCATGAATAGATAAACTGTGTCACATTATTTTTGTCGATGCTGTTCAAACATCACAACTGGAGATATACAATAAATATGTTTTATGTCTAAAACTTATTGAATACATACTCCAAAATACACAATACAATCCCGACCATTATCCGTGAATAGGTGCCATTTAGAGACGTGGCCAACTCCATCCTGAAAACAGCCGTTATGTTCGTGGGGGAGATGGACTATAATGACATCTTCAACGCTGGTCTCAATGACACCACAGCAACAGACACCACCAACCTGCTGTACCCACCAGCAACATCCGTCCTCTTCTCCATCTTCATTACGCTGGCGTCAATTGTCCTCATGAACTTACTGGTACGTCATATTGATTTCTTGTTGAATATGCAAGGGACACAAGAACAATTATACTTGGTTGTATAATGTATATGCATGGTAAACCAGAACAAGTATACTTGGTTGTATAATGAATATACATGTGACACAAGAACAATTATACTTGGTTGTATAATGAATATACATGTGACACAAGAACAATTATACTTGGTTGTATAATGTATATGCAAGGGGCACAATAACAATTATACTTGGTTGTATAATGAATATGCAAGGGACACAATAACAATTATACTTCGTTGTATAATGTATATGCAAGGACACAATAACAATTATACTTGGTTGTATAATGTATACGCAAGGATATGAGAACAATTATTCGTGGATGTGTAATGTATATGCATGGGGCACAATAACAATTATACTTGGTTGTATAAAGTATATGCATGGGGCACAAGAACAATTATACTTGGTTGTATAAAGTATATGCATGGGGCACAATAACAATTATACTTGGTTGTATAAAGTATATGCATGGGGCATGAGAACAGTCATACCTGTCTGATAGTTTACTGCCGACATGTTAGTATGAGAATATGAGAAATAACATGTCACCATAGCCAGTGACACAACACAGTTTTGTTTTGGTGAGTATAAGGTACAGGAAAATACCTTTTGGGTTTTGAGCGAAAGCGAAGTTTGGGGCATCGGAATTCATTCAGGTTGTGCCAGTTGTCAAGGTACACACTTTCAAGCCTTTCCATTCACCAGGTCGGTTTGGCTGTGGATGACATCAAGGGGACGCTTCTACGAGCAGCCTTCAAGCAGACAGCTATGCATGTAAGGAATCGACAGATGGGTTTAAAGCTGCCTTGCATGAGATTTCAGTAATATCACATTGTGTCAGCATGGGGTGGAACGAAAGCCCGAAGTGTAAAAAGTTCATTCAAGAAATGTGAGGAGGCTATAGGCCCATATCACATGTGGGGTGAAAAAATGTCACACTGGAGAGAGGGTTATACATGTTATGTTAATTCAGTTTACATTGTCTCTTAAGTATTGCATGAGATACGACGCCGTGATATAACTGAAATATTGTTAAAAGCGGCGTTAAACCCAACTCACTCACACTGCATAAGATACGTAAATGGGTCGGAGGAACCCTTCAGCTTATTACATTGACAACGAGATGGGTACAAAACATACATATTTCAAAATAAGTTTTGCTTTGTGGCATCAAAAGCACTGCAAAGTGTACAAGTGTACAAAGTAGACCTCATCGTCAATAGTGTTACAGTTAAATAACTTATACACTCGCGGCTCTCTTGGCTGCCAAATATATCTTCTAGTTTTAATTGGAGGGAACAACATCTAAAAGCAGCCAGGGCTACTCTAAATTTTGAAACACTCATCCCTTCATCACAAAGGATATTTTATAATATAAATGGTGTAACTATTGGTTTTGGTGCCTGTAGGGGCGCATCGTGCCACTCTTGTCCGTATTTTCCTTCGCACGAAATCCAAACTCTGAGAAAAAAAGCTGAAGTATTAAGTACAAATTATTGCTCCCGTTATAGCCAAATCCTGCATAAAAGAGAATATTCTTAACCTTTGAAGCCCTATTACTTTTACTATTTTGTGCTGCATGAAACATAATATGACAACACCTTTTCACGTATCTTCTTTCAGGCATTCTAGAGAATACTGCACCACTACTTTAAACACGATTGTAGGTAGGAATATAAAGTGCATTCTCCTATTGAAATAGGATATGAGGTGGAATTCTTCACTTGTAACAGGCGTTTACACGCAGAAACACCCCAACTCAAGCCCCATATAGCAGAATTGGGTTAGCCGGAGCATGAAAGAGTAATAAACACAATATACAATAGGAAAGGCTTTATACAGTGACTTAATAATGCTATATATTGCTTTTCTTTGACTTCAAGTGAAGCATTTACAATATCATGTGATCATGTCAATGTCTCCGAAAAGAGAACTCCAATATATTTGTAGTTTAGAATATTTTAGATGTGTTTGATGCATGTCATCGATCTCAATTGCGTGGATCGATGTTCATGATGTCAATCACTGCCGATTATTTACAGACTGTCGTCATATAGCTGGAATATTGCTGAGTGCGGCAAAGCACACTTGTTTGTTGCCCCAGTTTAATACAAGATGTGCTTTTTCTAAAAGATTGAACTAGTACTGGATGTGGAGAAGGTTCTATGGAACTCGCTAAGAGAACTGTTATACAGAAAGAGAAATGCGCAAAAGAAGAAGAAGATGCCGTGGCTATGGAAAAAGTTTATGGGCTGTTCGATATGGTGGTGGAACCAGCGTATTGAGAAGGAGGAGAACACGGTGTTGGTGAGTGAGTGTGTGCGTGTGCGTGTGCGTGCGCGTGTGCGTGTGTGTGTGTGTGTGTGGGGGGGGGGGGGGGGGACCCTACCCGTAGTGCTGTAAGGTGATAAGTTTCCATGTTTGTAGCACTACTCAGTGATATCCTACCCGAGTGTACATGTAGTGCTGTACTGTGGTATCAAACTCGTGTGCAGTGCTATAAAGTGATATCCTATCAGTGTGTAGTGCTGTACAGTGATATCCTATATGTGTGTAGTGCTGTACAGTGATTTCCTACATGTGTGTAGTGCTGTACAGTGATATCCTACATGTGTGTAGTGCTGTACAGTGATATCCTACATGTGTGTAGTGCTGTACAGTGATATCCTACATGTGTGTAGTGCTGTACAGCGATATCCTACATGTGTGTAGTGCTGTACAGTGATATCCTATATGTGTGTAGTGCTGTACAGTGATATCCTATATGTGTGTAGTGCTGTACAGTGATATCCTATATGTGTGTAGTGCTGTACAGTGATATCCTATATGTGTGTAGTGCTGTACAGTGATATCCTACATGTGTGTAGTGCTGTACAGTGATATCCTATATGTGTGTAGTGCTGTACAGTGATATCCTATATGTGTGTAGTGCTGTACAGTGATATCCTATATGTGTGTAGTGCTGTACAGTGATATCCTACATGTGTGTAGTGCTGTACAGTGATATCCTACATGTGTGTAGTGCTGTACAGTGATATCCTATATGTGTGTAGTGCTGTACAGTGATATCCTATATGTGTGTAGTGCTGTACAGTGATATCCTATATGTGTGTAGTGCTGTACAGTGATATCCTATATGTGTGTAGTGCTGTACAGTGATATCCTACATGTGTGTAGTGCTGTACAGTGATATCCTACATGTGTGTAGTGCTGTACAGTGATATCCTACATGTGTGTAGTGCTGTACAGTGATATCCTATATGTGTGTAGTGCTGTACAGTGATATCCTACATGTGTGTAGTGCTGTACAGTGATATCCTATATGTGTGTAGTGCTGTACAGTGATATCCTACATGTGTGTAGTGTTGTACAGTGATATCCTACATGTGTGTAGTGCTGTACAGTGATATCCTATATGTGTGTAGTGCTGTACAGTGATTTCCTACATGTGTGTAGTGCTGTACAGTGATTTCCTACATGTGTGTAGTGCTGTACAGTGATATCCTATATGTGTGTAGTGCTGTACAGTGATATCCTACATGTGTGTAGTGCTGTACAGTGATATCCTACATGTGTGTAGTGCTGTACAGTGATTTCCTACATGTGTTTAGTGCAGTACAGTGATATCCTACATGTACGTAGTGCTGTACAGTGATATCCTACATGTGTGTAGTGCTGTACAGTGATATCCTACATGTGTGTAGTGCTGTACAGTGATTTCCTACATGTGTTTAGTGCAGTACAGTGATATCCTGTCCGTGTGTTGTGCTGCACAGCGATATCCTGTCCTTATGTAGTGCTGTACAGTGATATCCTGTCCGTGTGTAGAGCTGTACAGTGATATCCAGACAGTTTGTAGTACTGTGCAGTGATATCCTACACGTAAGACGTGTACACTGGTATCCTACCTGTGTGTAGTGCTGTACAATGATATACTACCCATGTGTAGTGCTGTACTATGATATCCTACCAATGTGTAGTGCTGTACAATGATATACTACCCGTGTGTAGTGCTGTACTGTGACATCCTAACCGTGTGTAGTGATGTCAGTGATATCCTCCCCATGTGTAGTGCTGTACTATGACATCCTACCAATGTGTAGTGTTGTACAGGGATATCCTACCCGTGTGTAATGCTGTACAGTGATATCCTAACCGTGTGTAGTGATCTACAATGATATCCTCCCCATATGTAGTGCTGTACGGGGATATCCTACCTGTGTGTAGTGCTGTACAGTGATATCCTACCCGTGTGTCGTCCTGTACCGTGATATCCTACCCGTGTTTAGTGTTGTACTGTAATATCCTACACGTGTGTAGTGCTGTACAGTGATATCCTCCCCATGTGTAGTGCTGTACTATGATATCCTACCAATGTGTAGTGTTGTACAGGGATATCCTACCCGTGTGTAATGCTGTACAGTGATATCCTAACCGTGTGTAGTGATCTACAATGATATCCTCCCCATGTGTAGTGTTGTACAGGGATATCCTACCCGTGTGTAATGCTGTACAGTGATATCCTAACCGTGTGTAGTGATCTACAATGATATCCTCCCCATATGTAGTGCTGTACAGTGATATCCTACCCATGTGTAGTGCTGTACTATGATATCCTACCAATGTGTAGTGCTGTACAATGATATACTACCCGTGTGTAGTGCTGTACTGTGATATCCTTACCGTGTGTAGTGCTGTACAGTGATATCCTCCCCATGTGTAGTGCTGTACTATGATATCCTACCAATGTGTAGTGCTGTACAATGATATACTACCCGTGTGTAGTGCTGTACTGTGACATCCTAACCGTGTGTAGTGCTGTACAGTGATATCCTCCCCATGTGTAGTGCTGTACTATGATATCCTACACGTGTGTAGTGATGTTCAGTGATATCCCAAACGTGTGTAGTGATGTTCAGTGATATCCCAAACGTGTGTAGTGATGTTCAGTGATATCCTACACGTGTGTAGTGCTGTACAGTGATATCCTACACGTGTTTGCATATAGTGTTGTACATTGAATCCGTTCTGTCATAAGTGTTGTCGTTTACAATGCCTACTTTCTACATTCTACATTATAGACTAGGTGATGTTTTTTCTCCTGGTTTGTTTGGGGTAATCATCATCTGATTATGTTTCAGGTATCTATTGATGACGTTGCCCAGCAACAGAGGCGGCTGGAGAGGCTGATTGTGACGCTGAACAGAGACGTGTTGACACTGCTGAAACACTGTGACCATGAAAAACCCGGCTAAATGGAGACGAACAGGAACTAGGAGTGTCATAGTTTATACTAAATATTGTATTAAAGAAGTGTAATCTTACGGATATTTTCTTTTCCAAGAAGTAATACCTACGATGCCTTCTATGTAAAGTCGTCGCTACATGGCTGAAATAATGCCAAAGGGGCGTTCAATTGTAACTCACTCACTTACTCACTCACACACTCACTCACTCACTCACTCACTCACTCACTCACTGCTAGGTAAAGCAGCTGTGTAAAATGAAAACTGTTGTGCTGATATAAGTCATTTTGTAACATTTAATGTAGTTAGTTTAAGCAAGGTTTTGTTAATAATGTTTTTTATTGAATGCTGATTAACACCGCCTCCTTTGTTTAATGGATATGGCGTCGTCAGTCCGATCCCGTGCCCACCCCATACCAAAATATATTTGAAGATGGTACTTGTTGTTACCCTGCCTGGCACTCTACATTAACGGGGGGAAACAATGACTGTTGGCTCGTAGTCAGTATACGGTGTCTGAGTGGATTATTCAGGTTAAACTGCAGCATGGTATCTCATTGGGATAACACTATCAAACCGGCATAAGTTCGAACCAGCACAAGTAGCAATATACGAGTGCATTACGTCGGTATATAAGTGCGATGGTCTTGAACGCAACGTTAAACTCCTGTTATTCATGTTCATTGAGGCATACATAGAAAAATAAAGGGTGGAATGATTAGGGTGTAAGTTCTCTAGCAGGTGTTCTATATCAACAAAAATGTGTATGTTAATTTCTCTTGTTGGAATAATCACTTTGTGACGCAAAGGAGTGTGGGATTTGGTTTTTACAGTCTTGAAAGGGTTACATTTGCTATCCAGCTATGTTAAAATAACCACCATGGTGTCGCGCATGTGCGTCCGGTAGCATCCTAACAAAATGCCTCTGGCATGGGTCTAAATTGGGTGTTTTGAGAAACGTGCCAATTTTCGTTGTTGTCTAAAATGTGCAGGTCTTTTGAAGCACTTTGCAGTGACCAAATGTTTTGAAATCGTTTGTAAACATTGAAAGGGTTAGATTGGCTATCCAGCTATGTTTAAATAACCATCATGGTGTCCCGCATGCGCATGTGGTCGCTTCCTCACAGAGGCCTCTGACGTCAATTTGGACACATTCAAACGGTTGTATTTCCCTAACGACTACGTCTTAGAATTAGGAGAGCTTTCAAACGAGCCATGATGCTTAATAAAATCGCTTAATATTTTAGAAAAGTGTTTTTTACCTCTCCGGCAAACGTATATCCAAGTGAGCAAACGGAAACGACATTGGTCTACTTTGTGTGTTTGAGAAACGTGCCAATTTTCGTTTTGGGCGTAAATGTGCAGATGTTTTGAAGCACTTCGCAGTTACCAAATCCCTTGAAATCTTTTGTAAACACTGAAAGGGTGACCTTGGCTATCAAGCATGGTGTCCAGAGACCTCTGACGTCAATTTGGACACCTTCAAACGTTTGTATCTCGCTAACGACTACTTATGGGTGTGTCGGATTTGGTATCAAATGTCTTAGAATTTGGAGAGCTTTCCAACGAGCCAACATGCACTAACATCGAGAATATCTGAGAAAAGTGTGTTTTTCAACTCTCCAGCAAAAGTACATCCAAGTGAGCAAATGGAATCGACATTGGTCTACATTCTATACTAAAAAACAAAAGTTCCTGTGACATTGAATAAGATGTAATGCAAAGTTATGTTTTATACCAAATCTGAAACAATTTCGGTTTGCAACAGATAAAAGACTCCTGTAAGTGTTCAAATGATTCAATTTGCCATACTGACTTCAGAATGAGTGATTTCATAAGAAAAACATGAACATGCCAAAATGTCAATTTACTAATCAATAGCGTGTGTGTCCAAGTAACACATCACGTCTCATGGAATGGACAAGGCGTCGCACAAAGTCCTGTGGGATATCTGTCAATATCTGCTGGAGCAAGTTCCTGGAGTGTCTGTGGAACACGTGGTTGACGTCGAAGGCGCCGATCCATCTCATCCCACATGTGCTCGATTGGTGAGAGATCAGGGGAGCGAGCCGGTCAAGCGATGACATTCGCGTTGTTTTGTTGAAGGGAATCCTGAACAAGTCGAGGAATATGAGGCCGGGCGGTGTCATATTGAAAGGTAATGCCTTGGCCATGATAGAACAACAGGTCCGATGATCTCGTCGCGGTAGCGCTGTCTATTGAAATTTCCCTCTACCACTTTCAAACGGGTCCTCTGTCTAGCTGTAATCCCACCCCATACCATAACGCTGCCTCCCCCGAACCGATCTTCTTCCATGACACAATGATTGACGTAACGTTCACCTCGACGTCGGTACACTTGAATCCGTCCATCGCTGTGGCTGAGGTGAAAACGAGACTCGTCAGTGAATAGAACGTATCCCCACTGCATGGCAGTCCAGCGTAGACGCTGTCTGCACCACTGTAGACGTGCTTGACGGTGGTTTCCTGTCAAAATGGGACGTCTGGCGGGTCTTCTGGTGACAATACCTGCACATCTTAGGCGGCGACGTACGGTTTGTGAAGATATTCGTCGAAGGCCAGGAATGCTTCATGCAGTTACTGTTGCTGGCTGGAATCGATTTCGTAGGTGTGTTGTTCGAATCCAGTTGTCTTGTCGATTATTGGTTACGCGTGGCCTGCCACTCCGAGGATGATCTCTGACTGCATTCGTCTGTTGCCGACGTTGCCATAAACACCAAATGGTGTTCCTGTGGACGTTAAATTGTCTTGCAACATGACGTTGACTCGATCCTGCTTCAAATATACCAATGGCTCGCAGACGCTCATTTTCGGACAGGCGTGGCATTTCGTTATGTTGAATAATTTCGTAATTTTGTTGTTTTTCTGAGTGGTTGTTGTCAGCACGATGCTCAACAATACATATGGAATCCCGTTAACGCACATGTTTTTATACCCATTCTTGGGCAGTGAAATGCATGCTTCTCTGTAATATCTTGTAAATTTACGGCAAGCATGGGTTGCTGAAGACCTATTCTACCCCGGAATCTTCACGGGTCGTCAGAGGTTGTGAGGACAGTCATGACATGGAATGTACATGGCTCAGGTAACAATATACCAAATAGGAAATGTATTGAATTTAGTGATTCGATAGATATTTTTGGAATTACTGAAAAATGGAGTAATTGTTCATAAGATAACATTGAGCAGTGTTTTCCAGATTACCCAGTGTATGTATATCATCGTGTGTACAGCAATAGAGATGGAGTCTCATTGTTGATCAGAAATGTGTTTACACAGGAAGAAATATGTAAATGTATCCTTCAATGATAGCATTGATGTTTAGACGCTAACTTTTTCGGTTGCTTGGATCTGTTTATGTCCACGCTTTTTTATCTCCCGTTAAATCTGACAAGCCCGGTATTAAGGGTATTGACTCCATCGTGTCATGTCTTCTTAAACTACTGACGCTGTTCAGTGATGATGACTCTATACTAGCAGGCGATTTTAATATATGGATTATATATACTTTATGATGATTATGATAGTGATGTTTTTATTTAGAATCTGAATGATATGCAATCTATAAAAGATCCAGTAAGTTAGTAAGGATAAGATTTATGGATGAACAACTTCTTTATTACAATTAGGAGCAACGTTTCGGTGTAGTTTCTAACCACGATGTCCCTATACGGCTGAGTTACCGCCGATGTGATGTCAAATATCAACTCATTCACTAATAATCCTAATAATGGTTGGTTGGTTTGTTGTTTAACGCCGCACTCAGCAATATTCCAGCTTTATGACGGCGGTCTGTAAATAATCGAGTCTGGACCAGACAATCCAGTGATTGATATCATGAGCATCGATCCACGCAATTGGAATAGATGACATGCATCAACCAAGTCAGCGAGCCTGACCACACGTTCCCGTTAGTCGCCTTTTACGACAAGCATAGTCACATTTTACGGCAAGTATGGGTTGCTGAAGACCTATTCTACCCCGGAATCTTCACGGGTCTGATCCTCATAATGCTCTAAATAGAGAGATATTAAAAGGAGAAATAGTTGAAGCACTGTCCTCTTTAGAATGTGGTAAAGCCGCTGGACCTGATGGAATTCCTCCAGAAATGTGGAAACATGGAGATGATGTATTTCTACCATACTCATGGTTCATTTTGATAGTATTTTTAATTCTGGGGATTTTCCATTACATTGATCTGAAAGTATAATTTTCCCACTTCAAAAGAAAGGCAATACAAATTATGTGAATACCTATAGAGGAATTTCTGTAATGGGCATATACGGTAAAATATTTACGTGTGTTGTAAATAAGACTTTAACCTTTCGTAGATTTGTTAAACACAAACCCTGCGTGTCAAGCTGGATTTCGTAGTGGCTTTTCTACGGCTGATTATATCTTTACACTACAATCACCAATTCAGAAGTATTTATCCAGATCTAGGGGTAGACTTTATTGTTTATTCGAAGACTTTAAAAAGTTATTGATACCATCAATAAAGATCGTTTATGGTTTGTGTTAGCTTAACAAGATATTAAAGGCAACATGCTGAATATAATTCGTGATATGTACTCTAAGACAACAGCAGGTAATAAAGTATCAAATGTTATTTCCGAATAGTTGGATTCTTGAAGCGGTCAAAGTTGTATTCCAAGTCAACTTCTAGTGACAAAACATTCTCCACAGGACTGTGTGACTGGAGGGATGACTTCAACTTTCCCTTCATGTCGAGCAATATTCCAACAGCTCCAGCCTTAGGGATTTTACATTTAACTTTTAAGATACAATAGAGCATGCTCTTTCTACCAACATTTCAAAGAGCGTCATACGCTCAGACAAAGTTTTCAAAAAGTTTTATTGTAGACATGTTGAGGACATTTTCAAATTTGATGCTATGTTCACACAAAAAAATGAAAAATATGTTTTAAAAAAACTGTCACTCTCTTTGTTCAGTATCCACATGCTATATAAAATATACATCTACAATCACTTTTGCGTTTCCTTCTTGCACAGTATATATTTTTCGAATCTCTTTGGCTTTCAGAAAACTTTGTGAAGTTATGATTTATTTATGTAGGACCTTTACAACGGAAGCAATATAAAGAATAGTGTTCAGTCAGTAAATAGTTAATGGAGGTATAGTCTACAGGGGTAATGATCTCTTAACTGATGCATTGCAGTCTACAGACTTTGGTTCAGGTAGTCGTCTAACCAATTAGTGGATCTTTCACTCCTCTGTTAACTCTTCAAGATGCTGCTGGTGTGTTCAAGTAACTGTTGCATTCTGCAGCTGGCATTAACAGCAACTGTTTACCTCATGTTTGGGCTTTCCACATGCCATACAAAGACTTGTGGACTGCAGATATCAGGGGAAATGAAGAACAGATCTGTCACATTAAGGAATGTTGACATCAAGTTGTGCAAAGTTAGATGTATGAAAAATTCCTTAATTTTTGCCTCCTGTCATCAATCAACTGGTGAATCAAAGAAGACTGAGAAGATCGGCGGATCTACGAATCAGCCCAGTGTAAGTTATGTTTATGTCAAGCGTGTGTAGGTCTGTCCCGGTGTGATTATCTTACCTTGAAGCACAGGAACTACATTGTGTGCACCTCAGTTCAAATGTATGGAATAACAACTTTTGGGTGGGAGTTTTATAAGATAATATGTTATCAGAAGAAATTGTCCTTTACCAAAATGACTTTGAATACATATTTCTTCATTTAAGACAAGATACTTCATTTAAGATAATGTATGGCGAAAACACCATTGAATAACTTGTCTCGACCATCTGTTGAAACAGACTCCTTCGATATAGTATGGAGCATTATCGACCAATGTATCATCAGCTGACTCGTGAAAAGCAATGATGGATTCTAAAAACATGCGTGTGTTATGACCTCATTTATGATGAAGCTGAATACACATGCTTAATTTATTCATAAACAAATGTAAAAGGAAAGCTACATTTAGGGGATTATGAATTGCAGAAACCCAAGGTCTTTGAAAGTCAGCATATGACTTCTGCAAATGGCAATTCCCTGAAAAAAGCGTTATCTCTGACATAGTTAAAAGGTCCTTTGCATCGTGTCCTTAAATAATCAAATAAAATTGAACAACAAATTCAACCAATATATCATCAGCTGACTAGTGAAGTGTCATGGTCGTTTACATTATATGCAAATAAGAGTCTCACAAGTTCCTTTTTATTGCTGTCACAAGGTCTCAAGCAAACACTGTACAGCAAAGGTCTGCAATCTGACTCGTCCAAGTCTGGAGATTGGATCGGGAAAGGCTGTCCGTGTGCAAGGTATATGTCTCAAGCAGAGAAGTATACGCCTTAATCTTGTTTCTATAATTTCACCAATTCTCCTGCTGGGTTTGAAATGATTTTTTAAAGATGAATATGGATACTGGGATTCTTTATAGGGCATGCTTCTGGTTTTTTGTATTATCCTTTTAACTTTGCTACTACATTCGTAATCTTAAAAATGCCATTAAAGAGTTCAGACTGCATTTACGTGTCGCGTTTTGTATTCTACAGACCGTGGTAGGGTGAGGGGTGTGGGGTTTATAGTCTGAAATATATCATCCAAGTATGATATATTGTGGCTACGAGATACTGTGTGGAGGTGACGACATAGCAAAGACATTCACTGTCTCGCCATGATATGATATTGATACTAGTTTACAGTCTCCATGCACAACAAGGAGAGATCACACAACATTTTAAAATAATTTTATTCTGGCAGTGTAGTTAAACATCAGATTTTCACAAACATCAAGAGCAAGCACCAAAGAACACAATTATAAAGTCTTACTTCATACTGAAATATTCATTCATATCCCAAACGGTTCCATTGAATGTTTCACATAATCAATTGTACTTCATTTGTTGTACTAAGTACACATTCTGCCGACATGGCATGTTCAATTAAAGTTTCAAATATCGCCGACATGGCACATCAGTTAACAAACAATCCCGACCTGGGTAGTGACCACTTTGTCTTGATCTCACTTGTAGAGACAAACAGCAGAGCAACAATTTCATAACCTCAGCCTCTTCTTGGTTATTAGCTTACCAGGGTTTACATACAGACAATGTGAAGGTGTGTAATTGGCCAGTAGACTTACATAGATACATAGACTGTTGTATGTAAATATTGTTCATCTTGATGTATAGAGTCAGCATTGTGTTACAGCAACACCGACTGCCTCACCGCGTCTCCAACCAGCAGACGCAAAACTCCACTCTGCCTGCTTATCCGGGGACCTATCAGCTGTGCGACGCATCTTGTCAGTGGGTCAGGCGGACATTAACTGCAGGAAGAATGGTAGAACACCGGTGATGACGGCAGCAGTAAAGGAATTTAGAGAGGTGGTATTGTTACTCGTGAGTAACGGAGCTGATGTGTCACTCGTGGATAACAACGGTAATAACATCCTTCACATGGTTTGCTTGCAAAGAGATTTGGAGGCGTTGAAGTATGTCCTCTCACAGGATATGGTGGGTATTAACGATAGAGGATGGTTCGAGAGGACATCGGTGATGAGGGCAGCTGAGAAGGGATATAAAGAGGTGGTAGAGCTACTCGTGCATAAAGGAGCTGATGTGACACTAGTGGATAAACACGGTGATAACATCCTTCACTTAGCCTGTCAGAAAAACAATGTGGAGATGGTGAAGTATGTCCTCTCACAGGACATGGTGGGTATTAACGATAGAGGATGGTACGAGAGGACACCGGTGATGAGGGCAGCTAGGTTCGGATATAAAGGGGTGGTAGAGCTACTCGTGCATAAAGGAGCTGATGTGACACTAGTGGATAAACACGGTAATAACATCCTTCACTTAGCCTGTCAGAAAACCAATGTGGAGATGGTGAAGTATGTCCTCTCACAGGACATGGTGGACGTAGACGCCAGGAACAACAAAGGACAGAATGCAGTCACGATAGTGAAATCCTTGAAACGGCTTGACGTGCTTGATCTTCTTGTGTCCCGTGGCGCTCACGCGCAGTAGGTGAGATGTTTGTGGTCATGATTAAGGTTAGATGATTTCTTCATGTTTAATGAGAAATGAAATACGTCAAAATTACATTTGGTTACTCTCTCATTTTAAATAAATGCTGCATTGCTCGATGAGGTAGAAAGATTGTTGATTAAATGATATGATAAGAAGAGAACTATAACATATCATAATAACATTCTTCTTTAATTGTCAGACATAAACATTTGGAAAAGTAAACTAGAAACACAAAAGTATTAGTTTACCAATCAGAGCACCCTGTAACCTCTAAATTAGAGTTCCGGCGAGCTGGTGTTAAATGCTGATAATTATAATCTTGGGAGTAATAAATACCTGTCACTCTCTGTAAGAAGATATACATTCGTCATATAGCTATAGTTCTATTGCGTGTCGCATAAGAAGAAACTGGCTCCTAGGCGCCAGTTGCCCAGTACATGAATACTTGCTCCGAGCGCTTGGAAATGCAACAGATTTACATGCAATGCAGGGGATGCTGTCTGATGATGGGGGGGCTACAATGCCTGGACATCCGAGCGGACATCAGCATATGTACATCCAACTGTCGTTCCCGATACTGAATTGTATAGAGCTATTATCAGTTACGGATTACTTGTATAGTAACCCATCCTGAAAACTTGAAATTAAATTTTACAAATATGGAATTTCTTATACTCTGTTACATTTAGTACAATTGTGGTCTTACTTTAGAGTAGTTGGGAAATCGAACTAAAAATGGAATTTAAAAACAACCAACATATGTACCTACCCATTTGATAAAGGTGATGAGAATCTATTTATCGGCCTTCTCAGAGTGGTCAGCTCATTGACGGCGTTTGCTTTGTGCTTTGTGTGTTGTGTTTGATCTAATGTGGAGCGGACGATCTTGAACTACAATCCTTCAGTCCCTACCTAGTTCATATATAGTCAACAAGTTTTAATAACATTGAAATAACAGAAAGTTAAATAAGTTAAGGTAAAATAACCAGATTAACACACGTCTTTTGATAATGCAATACAGTTAAAAAGAAATCACAAGCTCACGTGATTTCCTCTCAAACAAAGGAAAATGCGCATTCCGTCACCATAACACTCTACGTTGCAAACAACAGTTAACGCAAAAGCTGATAGCAAATGTTTTGGTTTGTCTGACTGATTTAGTCTGTTCACTGAGTTTGTCCCTAGTAACCAGTCCTTGTATAGTCTGGAAGGTAAATTAAGGTACCGACGTTTACTACAATATCTGAAAAAAACTATAGGACCTACTCCAGTCAAAGTTGGTATGAGATTATTAAACAGTCATACATAACTGGATATTACATTTAAAGACAATCGGTGCATGAATAAAAAATCTGTCTATTTAGCTATCACTATATTTCATCAACAACCAGACCTGTTCGTCACGGGTGGAACGAGCATTCATTGAAACAGCCATCTGCATAATGCTACCCCTGCGTCACAGGGCCATATGACACAGTTGAACCAATCCACTCAACTCGAAAGGGTGCACGGGAATCACGCACGTTGAGACGCCCAACGCTAACACCGTCTTCGTGCGTGCGTCCAGATACCATGGAAAAGCTGGATCAGTAATGACAGTCGTAGTAACTCATTCACTTTGGGCCGTTTACTGTCTTATGATGATGAAATAGATACTTTTCCGTTTTGCCCAGGTTTATGTGATTCGTAGTTGTGTACAAAGGGGATAGTTGGTTGGTTGCTTTGTTGTTTACCGCCGCACTCAGCAGCAATATTCCAGCTATATGACGACGGTCTGTAAATTATCGAGTCTGGACCAGACAATCCATGCCAGTGATTAATATCATGAGCATCGATCCTGGCAATTGGGATCGATGACATGCATCAACCAAGTCAGCGAGCCTGACCACCCGATCCCGTTAGTCGCCTTTTACGACAAGCAGAGTCACCTTTTACGGCAAGCAAGGGTTGCTGAAGACCTATTCTACCCCGGAATCTTCACGGGTCACAAAGGGGATATAAAATTTCGGTGACTTTGGAATCATATTGAAACATTTAGGAAGTTTAGATGAATGAAGATTTAAATGAAGGCATTGAAATGGTTTGCACTGTAACATTAGGAAGATGAAACAGATACATTGCCTTTTTGTCCAGGTTTTTGTGATTCATAGTTTCTTTAAGTATTGTTCTCAACTCAACGCTCACCAAAACTAATTACGATATCAAATATAAAGATAACCTTACAAATGAACATATTTTTCAGTTGTAGTTTTTCGTTTGGGCTGACAAAGGTTGTTCAGTTGTGACAAAATTTCTAAAGATACTGTTAATGTGTGGTGTTGGTCGGCTGCCTTCTGGGAAGAAATGACATGAGAAGGATTTTATACACAAGCGATTTACTTAACTTCTCAAGATCGATACAAGCTTAAGATGTGGTGACATCTCAAACTGTAGAACGACTTGGTTCAGTCTCTCGACTGGTTGGCTTGTTGTTTAACGCCGCACTATTCCAGCTATATGACGGCGGTCTGTAAATAATGGAGTCTGGACCAGACAATCCAGTGATTAATATCATGAGCATCGATCCACGCAATTGGGCTTTGAATTTTTCTAATTTATTTTGTGGATTTAGGATTGATTCTAGTGTAAGTCCGGTTTTAAGATTTAGTGTTATTCGGTGTGTTTGGTAGTGTGTGCAGTGAATGAGTACGTGTTCTGGTGTTTCTTGTTGTTTGAAATGTGGGCAGTTTCCTGTTGTGTGTAGATAAGCTATTTTACGGTGATTATTTAGTTTGGTGTGGCCTGTTTGTAGTTTAGTAATTATTCTGTCGATTTTTTTGGATGGGTGTAGTATTTTTGGTTTATTTAGGTTTTTTTTTAGTACTTTCCTGATTTGGCTATTTAAGTTTTGGTATATATTTTGCCATTTTTTGTTGATATTTTGTTTAGTGAGACTTTTGATTTCTGATTTTGAGCTGGGTAAGTTTAAGCTTATTTCTGGGAGTTAAAGGGATAATTTTGCTGCTTTATCTGCCTTTTCATTTCCAAAGATTCCTACGGGGGGTCCAAATGAACTCTATTAGTTTACCTGCCCTAGTTAAGTTGTTTGAGCTATTGAGTATTTGATTTATTAGTTTGGGGTGTTTTTTAGTGTTTTTATTTTTGAGGGCTTGTCGTCCACTGAGGGAGTCGGTTAGAATGAGGATTTTTTGTTGTTTTTTAGATTGCTGATTGTGTAGTGCTGAGACAACTACTGACTGATATAGAAGATTTAACGTGCGCTTTCCGACTGCAGCGTATTTCGCACACGGGCCTGGCCGGACCATTTAGTGTATTTCGAAAAGGGTGAAAGTGGTGTGTGCAACCCAAGAGGGGGCTTTTAGGGGTTGCTTATATTGAATTTTTGAGATTTTTAAATTTGGAATAAATGTGGAGGAGGGAACTAAGGGAGCGAGGTGGGTGTTTGTATGTTTATTGGATTTTGGATTGGTAGATTAATTAGTTTTTAGATGCGCTTAATTAGGTCTGTTTTGATTAGGAATACGCCTAGGGCCTTGAAGTTTTCTAGTTTATTTTGAGGGTTTAGTATTTCATCTAGAGTAGAAACCTTATTTAGATTGAGGGTGGTTTGTAGTGTGGTTCTGTGTGTTTGGTAGTGGGTGCAGTGGATGAGTGCGTGTTCTGTGGTTTCGGGTTGTTTGCAGTGGGGGCAGTTGCCTGTGGTGTGTCTTTTAATCTTTTTTAGGTGGTTATTTAGGTTCGTGTGTCCTGTTTGGAGTTTTGTAATTAATCTGTCAATTTTTTTAGAGGGGTGTAGGATTTTAGGTTTGGCTAGTGGTTTTCTGAGCACTTTTTTGATTTGGCTATTTGAGTTTTGATATTGATTATGCCATCTTTTGGTAATTTTTGGTTTGTTTACACTTTTAATTTCTGATTTTGAGATGGGTAGGTTTAGGCTTATTTCTGGTATTTTAAAAGCTGCTTTATCGGCGCTTTTGTTGCCGTAAATTCCTACGTGGGCGGGGATCCACAAGAATGTTATTTGTTTGCCTGCTTTTGTTAGGTCGTTGGAGCTTTTAAGTATTTGGTTTATTAATTTTGGTCGTTTTTTGGTATTTATGTTTTGGAGGGCTTGTAGTCCACTAAGGGAGTCGGTGAGAATTAGGATTTTATTGTTGTTTTTAGATTGTTGGTTATGCAGGGCTGAGGCAATGCCCATAAGTTCGGCCGTGAATATAGATTGGTTGTTAGGGAGTCGGTAAGATTGTGTGGATATAACTGGTTGTGTGGTATGGACTCCGAAGCCTGTGTGGTTGGAGATCGGGTATGAAGATCCGTCAGTGTATATGTGACACCCATTTGGCCAATTTTCGTGTATGTATGCAAGTGTGGTGGTTTTAGCTATGTTTGGGTCGGTTTGTTTATTTATTTGGTTAGCTAGCGTTGTGTCTATTTTGGGTATTTTGAGTTTAGGGGTGAAGATATTTGATTTTTGCAGTTTTGTTTAAGATTTTGAGTTTGGTGTTCATTGAGGTAGTTAGTTATTCTTTGAGATATTGGGGTGAGTAAGGGGTGTTTGCGAGCTAGAGTTTGGTTTCTTGGGCTTATGTTTTGGTTAATTATGAGATAACTAATAGGTCTCAAGATTAAGTATTCGGCTGGATGGCAGCTGCCATTTAATTACAAAACAGACAGTCGTCCAGACGGCTCACATGTAAATGCGCCGACATCTGCCTGAGATCATAAAATGGACAATCTTTGGTAACATCTAATTTATTGTTGTCTCACGACAGAGCTGTGAAATAATTCTGTTCATTGAACAATTGGAATTCAGGAAGTTATCAATAATTGTTTTACTTAACATAAGATAAGATAAGTTGTTTACAACATAATATTATGATGTCAGGACGTACTACAGTCAAAACCATATATTTTAAAATCAATTTAATGACAGACTATGATTTCCAAGTCCCGATTAGCAAATCAATGAGGTATCAGTTTCACCACATGTGCACAGACCGCCTATACTTATATATATATTTTTCATAACTATTCTCCAGTTAAAGTCCTATCCTCTTATAAAAAAATCTGTGAGAGTGATCATCATTAACGAAACTCATTCTCGTCAAAGAATACAGAACAAATGAAGAATCAGATGCATACATTTATTGCCATTCTTCATTCATCACGAAGTAGATTTACATACATTTGTGAATAGCACTTAAACTGTGATAATGAATTTTACCATTGTCCATATTATATTATAAATATTAACCATAATATGGATTTCCGAATATATAAACGACTCCAAACGTTGATATTTCAGACAAAAACAAAGTCAGCTGTCTTTTAACGTTCAGGGGAAAAGGGTTTGCTTTCACAATTGAACATTTGTTTTCACCAAAGGACAATCAAATCAAGCCAAAAACAGTAAAAATACACATATATGGTTAGCGACCGCCTTTATACAGCGAGGGGGGAAATTCGTCTGCTCTAACTGCCTTCACAAAAACATTCCAGCCTTTAATTACCGAGGCAGCTGTGACGTAGTAGCATTACATTCGCTGCGTTTGTAGCATATAAGATGTGTAATCTGTGGAGTGACTAAAGTAATATTACGGCTGAAATCTTACTTGCATGGTTATTTTAATAGAAAACTTACGGTTTAAAAACACAATTGTTCTTATATAATG